AGTTTGGGCTCCAGTGTTATCTGTATTTTGCTGTATATAATGCACACCACATTACACACGGGATTAGCCCATTATTATACCCATGGTATGTAATCATTATATGCATGTATAATGTGCATCCTTGCTTTTCCTTAAAAAATTTGTGCAAAAATTGAGCATTATACATGACAAAATACCTTATATCCTTGAACACTCTACTGAGCAACTCTTTCTCCCTACTTTCCATGAACAATTGTGAAAGAACATAATTGTTCCAACTCATACTCCTGTAAAGAAGCTGCTTACTGTGCAGAAAAATGATTAGTAGTTCATAAGAAAGATCAGTTTACTACCTTAACTTTCCGAGCGAACTTCAGGTCCATCGCAATGCGGCTCAGAGTGTGAGTGTGCGCGTGCGCAGGCGCGCTGGGCTCAGACATCGCGGCTCTTTGAGAAGAAGGCCTGGTGCTGGCATCTCCCCTCCAGGCAGCTTTCCAAAGCAACCATCTAGACAGGCCACCATCCAATTCTTCAGACTCCTGCCTCGGCTTCCCCCAAGGCCTTCCTGTTGATCCGCTTGCCTTCGTCCAGAGCAGGCTCCACTCAGCAGCAAGAGCAATCTTCTTAAGACACATGTGAGAGCACACTGTTCCAGCGTGAACCCATTCAGGGGTTCCCCGCTGCTCTCGGAACAAAACCCAAACTTCTGCTCATGGCCCGCAGGACCCTGAAATTATCTGTCCTCCTTGCTTCCCCAGTCTCACCTCATGTCCCCCTCCTCCTCTCAACCACCCTGCAGCCACGCTGGCTTGCTTTCAGCTCCTCAAACACACCCAGGTCTTTCCTGCCTGGGTGCAGTGTGCTGTCTTTACCTCTGGCTGAGAACCCTCCTCCATCTGACGTTTCTGCGGCTGCCTCCTCTCCCAGTTCAGGTCTCAGCTTCAATGCTTCCCCTTCAGGAGACCATTCCTGACCACTCCAAAATAGTCCCCTCTTTAGGCTCTATCTGGGCCCTCTGTTTACATTATTTAGTTTATCTGGCTCCAACCAGACTGTAAGCTTTATGAAGAAAGGGTAACATCTCTGGGTTCTTAGTTACTGTTGCAACCCCAGTGCCTTTGCACAGTATGTGGCCCCTAGTAGATCCTTGGATTGTTGTTCAATGAATATATGCATGAATGGGTGCATCAAGTGGAATTGACATATTGGAGGAATAGAAAAAATGAAAACGTACAAGTCTAAGGAAACAGGAGCAAGGCATCAAAGGGGATGCTTTTGGCAAAGGACATACAAGCCACCTTAGCAGAAAATGTGCCAGATTTGAGAGAAGCTTGTGAAGTAATCACAGCCAACAAGACCACACAGTTTGAGAAGTTAAGACATTTGGAGAAACCTTACACCAAATTATGCAATACACCGTGTAGAAATGATACTGGAGTTTCTGCCTTCTAGGGGAGGAAGGCTAGGCCAGGCAGATGAGAGGAGGGAGAAAAACTGAACTGTCGGACTCAAAGCTATTAAGTCCATCAGAATGGAACAAGTGCTCAGGAAGGTGAATTTCTTGGCTTATAAACCTTCTCATTGCTCCTCTGTGCTTTGGATATGCAAATGCATTTGCCGACTGACAGTGTCAAGGAGGGAACAGCCTCCTTTTCCACCCAAAGTCTTGCATCTGCTCCCCAATCAGCTCTAGGTGTAATTAACCTGAGTGATGGCATGCCCTTGAAGTGGCTGTCAAATCTCCCTCCTGAAAGGCCTGCCAAGCCCTCTCTAGGGGATCGGAAATGGAAAGAGGGAAACTTAGCATCTACATCACTTGAATGTGAGCTCCAAGGAGAAGGACATGAAATCCCAGATATACCATTGGGCAAAGCAAGCCTGCAATAACTATTTGTCTGTTTAATTAGTGTCCAGAAGGAGCTGCCATTGGGACTGAGGTTCCCTCTTTCAGCCTGGCCTCTGCCTGGTCTGTGACATCAGGCACTGCTAACTTCTCGGGGTTTTTATAACACAGAGTAGCGGTACATGGACTGGCAGCTGATTTGGCCTCTGTTGCCTCACCTGTGAAACCAGATAGGCCCTAAAGTCTCTTCTTAGCTTTAAAATTCCATGTATCCATATATCCGTGAGTCATTTAGCTAGCAACGTATATTTGTTTGCTGCTCAACTAAGTCCCGAGCCACTGATAGTAGGAGCAAACTATTTTTATAGTTGTCAGAAAAAATATAGAGGACATCCAGTTAAATTTGAATTTCAAAGAAAACAAATATTTTTTTAGGATAAACATGTGCCATGCAATATTTGGGACATTTGCTAAATCTGACAATGTTAGCTATTTGTCTTCTGTCCTCCAAATACTATAACTTTTTGAAGAGATGGGAACTGGATCTTAGTCATCTCTGGAATCCCTTACAATGGTGTCTGCCAGATTTTTGGATTCATAGACTAAACATTATTGGGTTTTTTGGAGGGAAAAACAACTTTTCATTTTGGTAAATGAAGGCATTTATAGCCCTCATCACTTTACTAAAGAAAAGCCAGTTAAACATTAAAAACTATGAGATGAATTCTCAAGTCATTTTATATAATTGTATATAATGATATAATTTTAATTTGTATGAACTTTATAAATCATTTAAAAATTTACAAAATACTCATCACATTGTCCCTTTGTTTATGTGTTTCAGAGGCCAGCAGGCAAAGCTTTGAACAAGTTTGGCACCGCCCAGCTGACCTGTGTTTGAAAGGTTCAGCTGTGTGGTACTTATTTGAAGGCCTTGCCCAAGGTTTTTACTTTTTTGCTTTAGCTACCAGGAAGCTTGGAGTTAAATTGGAGCTCACTTGCTCCAACTATCTTTTCCTCTCCCTGCACTTCTTGGCTTCTGTGCTTTCCTCCAGGCCTTTAAATGTTTAAAAAATGTTTTATTTATTGTCTTTGAGAGAGAGAGAGAGCATGGGGGAGAGAGAAAGACATCAATTTGTTGTTCCACTTATTTATGCATTCATTGGTTGTTTCTTGTAGGTGTCCTGACTAGTGATTGAACCCACAACCTTGGCATATCGGGAAGATGTTCTAACCAACTGATCTACCCGTCCAGGGCATAAACATTTTAATAAATGAACTTTCATTGTAAGTTGCCTCAAGAACTTCGGAAGTACAGGAATTTTTAAAAAATGTTTATATGTGGTAAGACGTCAATAAAGGATGCTATTGACAAAGCAGTGATGAATATTAAGTGGTACCTAACTAGTTTACTCTCCGAAGATGTTAACTGAATTCTTACTTTAATTTCCCATTCTTAGAATTTTAGAATGTTATTGCTGGAAGGATAATCACATCTCTGAGAAGTCCAATTTCAGATCTACCCAACTGGGATTTGAGGGATAAGATCCACAAATCTATAGGAATTCTAAGACGCAAGGTCCACTCGCCCATATGCCCTCTTAGCATGTACCGAAGGGTGGTGTATCATTTAATAGGTGAGATGACTGAGCAAAAGCGAGCGAAGTGATTGTCTTGAATTGGTGGCAGGCATGTGTGAAGTACACAGCACCCAGCTCTCTTTGCAAATTAACTGACTCTGTGGGAGACAGGAGGGGCAGGGAAAGGTGTTCATCCGTTTCTGTTCACATTATACAGCAGGAAGTGGGTGACGGATGGAGACAAATGAAAAGACCTGCGATTCGCCTCAAATAATAGCAACATCCCTCTCCCATCTGTTCTGAGATTTCACAGTTCACTAAGCACTTCTCCCGTATTATTGGATCTTGCTTTGATCCTCACCACAACAAAGAGATTTAGCAAGATGGCATTGTTTTCCATTTTACTTTACAGATGAGAAAATGCAATAACAGTGACTGTGTTTATGTGGCCAATAAAACCACATAGCTGAGATTTGAACGCTTTCTAATACTAAACATCACTCAAGACTGGTAGAACTGGCTAACGTCTTTGTCATTTTAAAAAAATGAACTACTGTTTCAAAACTCACACAAGATCTATATGATTATTTTAAGAAAATTCGAAGAACTCAGAAAAATATATTAAAAAGTAGATGAGTGTATCTCATCCTACTCCTGGTCCTGAAGAGTTTGGTGGGTTTTTGAATTTCCTTTTCCTATGATTTTACATGCATTTACAGGTACGAGAAAATTTTAATGGATCAAACTATTTACATCGCTGTGCTTTTGTTTTGGACATTTCCCAAAATTCTTAAGATCTTCCTCTTCAAGATGAGCGATGTTTGAAAACAGAACAGCAACATTCATGTGTATACTGATGAGAGGAGAATATTATATTCACCCCCAGGGTGTAAGGTGGAGTTGACTGTGTAAGGGAAAGGGTGCTGGTGCTCAGAAATGGAGTTCACTGACTCTGATAGCATCAGCTTATTAATTTTCTCTCAAGAGCAGAGGGCGGGGCTTCAGAATGCGAATCACAAATCCGAACAGCTCTCAGTCTTCTCATCTGTAAAATGGAGACACGACTATGTGTTCCATAAGATTATGGTGAGAATTAAATGAGTTAATTCACATTAAAATCTCAGCACAATGCCCCACGATGACCGTGATGATGCTGCTGCTGCTGCTGCTGCTGCTGCTGCTGCTGCTAATTCTCCTCCGGTCCGAGATGGGATAGTGGGTGGGGCTTAAGTTGCAAGGTTATCAATACCAGGAAGATTACCCCAAGGGATTACTTTTTATTAAGAGCTACCACACAATTCCATCTGGGATGCCCTCTGGAGACCGTTCTGACAGCGAGACTCCTGCTTTGAAAACCTCAACATTCCACGTTTTTACGATCCGGTGCTTGGCTTCACCTTTGGAGAAGCCGAGGACTACAACTCCCAGGGTGCACCACTCCAGCCCCGCCTCGCCCCGGACTTCGCGTCTCTCCTAATCCTCACCAGGCTCTTGGCCCAAACTACAAATCCCGGAAAACCTTGCAGCAAAGCTCGGGTCACGAGACTCATCATTTGACTTTTTAAAGCGTAGCTGTGCCCCTGTTGCCCGCTGGGAAATGTATTAAGCATCCTTCCCCTTTCAGGCCCTGGCGCTGCAAGACGGGGGAACTGGCAGCCCTCGAATGCCGGGTCTTAACCGCCTATTCAGAAGCGTTATCTGGCGCGGAAGGACTTTGGAGACCGTCTGGGCTCGGGGTCTGTGGTGAATGTAGCTCGCGTGCTAGGCCTTACTCGCTGAGCAGGTAGACTGGGAAAAAAGCGGTGTCGGTGGACGAGACCAAGTGCCAGCTTCGAGCAGGGAGTGGTCCAAGGGGAAGGGTGAGTCCAAGTGGAGTTAGTAGGGGTGGAAGTGGGTTGTGATTCTTCTTTACCAACAGACCGAAGTGAGGCACGCCCCCAAAATTAGAATTTTAGAAAGTCTCTGCATGGAGAGGAAGAGGGGTGTCCATACGGTGTGATGGTTTTATGGTTTGGGGCTGAGAGTAGGACTTAACCCCGTGGCCTTGCCAACCCTTACTCACGGAGAAAGTTGGCGCCCGGGGCCTTGGACGAGGAAAATGCGGTAGTGCACGAGAGCCCCAGCTGGAAAGTTAGCCAGAAGTGTTGGCAAGTTACTCCGGGGTGCTGTGGGCTTCAGCTGTGTCCGCGAGCGTAGCCTTGCCCAGCCCTTTCCTATTGGGGGGGGAGGGGGGATGTTGTTTGGGGTTCTGGCCCAAGGGAACCCCAGCAAGAAGGAAACCTTTGAACCCTCACGGGCCTAAACAGAGCCACCAGGGTGCTCCCGTGTCATTATAAGCATTAGATACCATTACACTAGGTGGGGGCTATTTAGACGAAACCAAACCAGAGAAATTGGTGTCCAGCTGCCTGGTCGCAGAATATTGTGGAAGTGGCTCACCTCATAGAAAAACGACCTGAGTAAATTAATTTTAAAAAAATAATCAGAGTACAAAACGTACTGTATATAACGACCGTATTTTGTGATAAACACATATCTCCCACATATGTGGCATGTGTCTATGGCTGTGGGTAGAAAAATATCAGAATTACACGCTGTACTCTTAACTGTGAACAGTAGTTATTGATGGATGGTGAAATTACAGATTAATTTTACTCTTTACATCTTCATGGACATCTGAATTTGTACCGTGAGCATGAGTTACTTTTTTTCCCCTTGTTTTTCCCAAGAGAGTCGCTGGGTTGCTCTGAGGTGGTGCATTTTGGAAGGCAGGCACTGAGGCCATCTACTCTGTGGCTTGCATCTGGCCATCTGCAGATTGATTTGCCAAGAGTCCTAAAGGACTGAGTTCGAGTTGTGGATTTAGTGTGCAGCCTATGTGAGGCTAATGCTTTTTTCTTTCTTCCAGGTTGGAAAGCGTCTGTGTTAGCAAGTATCACACCATGGTATGTGGTCATTTTGGTCTGTCAGTCTAATCCATTACCCTTTCTAGTCTGAATTGTTCATCTCATTCTCTGGTAGATTTATTTATTTATTTTAAAGATTTTATTTATTTATTTTTAGAGAGAGGGGAAGGGAGGAAGAAAGAGAGGGAGAGAAATATCAATGTGTGGTTGCCTCTCCTGCGCCCCCCACTGGGGACCTGGCCCACAACCCAGGCATGTGTCTTGACTGGTGATCAAACCGTCAACCCTCTGGTCTTGCAGGCCAGCACTCAATCCACTGAGTCATACCAGCCAGTGCTATCTGGTAGATTTAGGTTGCCCTGCATAACTTCCTTGGGATCTGACAACTCACGCTGGCTGGGAGATGAGAGAGAGAAAAATATTGCAGCTGAAGTACCTCTTCAGCTTTGGACTTGATCTTGCTTTTTGCTCATTTGTCAGAATCATTGTTCTAGCCTCTGCTATTCCTCTGTGTGTGTTTCTTTTTAATTATAAAAGGAACTTTCACACATCCTTTGTTGTGCTCCTTGTGCATTTCCTGGGATAAAAGCTTGTTAAAATCAAGGTGGACACATGATAAATAAATGTATTTCATGTTTATTTCCATTTTTTTTTAATTTCTCAGCTTTTGCCACGTTTCTAATTAAAGATTGACGTTCCTGCATAAGCATTTTCCTGTTAAAATGTCCTTGCCTCTTACAGAGGAGCAGAAGAAAAAGATTGAGGAGAATCGACAAAAGGCTCTGGCCCGTAGAGCTGAGAAATTAGCAGAACAGCACCAGAGTGTAGGCTTGGGCTCCTCCATTGCTGCCCGTCCTTCTGAGTGCAAGCAGGGGCCTTCGTGCCATCTCCCCAGAGACTCCTCTAAGCCGGCGAGCCATCGTGTCATTTTCAAGCAACAGAAAACCAGTGATTCATCTCATGGTGACCAAAGACCTCACAATACCCACAGTTTTCAGCTTAGCACTTTTGAGCAGGCAAAGGGGACATGGAAGAGGCAGGAAGAGATGCCCGTAGCCTGCCTGCACCACAGCCCACCAAGTCAAACGACTCTCACTGGGCTCTCCCCTCCTTTGGCACAAAGTCCTCCAGAGGTTTCCAACCAGCGGCTCTTGGGCTATGAGTCAGGTCAAGGTCATCCTCAGGTTTCACAAGGGACCAAATCAACACCCTTTGGTAACACAACTCATGAGCCTTTGGCCAAAGCAAAGAGTTCCCAGGATACTCCAGCTTCTTCCTCCGGACAGCTTCCCAGGGATCCTGAATTAGAGGCCAAGACAGCCAGACCATCCACCTCAGGGCAGAATGTTTCTGACGTCCTTTGTGGCCCAGGGAGTATGATGCCCAGGATAGAAGGAAGACTGCAGCAGAACTCGGGGGCCTCACCCCACAAAGCAGGGCACTCCCAAGAGGGAACGTGTGTAAGGGATGGAGACCGTTTCCAGGTGAAGATTGGGTACAATGCGGAGCTCGTTGCTGTGTTCAAGCGTCTGCCCAGCAGAAGATTTGGTAATGAGTCTTCATTTAGTCTAGCTCTTCAGATGTTTTTTTTCCCCCCTATTTTAGGGTCTCTTTTCATCTAGCAGTTTCTCATAAATATGAAGAGGGTGCATTGGCACATTCTGTCCATCCAGTTGTTAAAATTGTTCTATTTTAGCTCATGTTTCTTTTTGTCATAGACGTTCCTCCAAACAGCTGCCAAAATTGGGGGCTGCCGCGTGGCCATATGGAGAATGGATGAATGTTTACCGAGAGGCCAGCTCCTCTGCCAGGTGCTTTGTATGCACTGTAGCACTTAAGCCTAACAACAGTTTTCTGAGATAGCTAGATGTTATTTTATAGGCGATGGGACTGGCTTGGCAACCTGGGCATGCTCAGGTTGGTCTGTCTGCAGGGCAGAGCCAGGGTGTGGCTAGCTCTGCCATCTCTCAGGGCACACGCCTCAGTGCCCGAGCTTTGCAGGACTACATGGGGTCCCACCTCTGCCCTCAGCTCTCTGAGGTGAGGCCCGTAACATCCCAGAGGCTGACTTGCATTTCTCACTACAGAATAAAAAGCATTATCCTGATTTATGTTTGCTCTTTGACTTCTACAAGGATTTTATAAGTCAGCGGGGGCTTGTTCAGCCAACTGTTTTGAATTTAGCATGCATTCATTCATTCAACAAGCTTTTCATTGAATGTCCAAGAACAAATTATAATAACATTCGTCAGCCTCACTGTGTGTGGACAGACCAAGTATCTGTGTTTCATTTCAGATCCTAACACCAAGATGTGGAACTTCAGCATGACCGACTACAGTGCCCTGAGTAAGTAGGTGTGTCATCACCCCTCAGGCTGTACACACTGGTGTTGGAAAGTTTCTCTGGAGCTATAGTTCTGGTCTGGCTCGTAGTCCAGACGGCTTTCAGGGCACCATCCCAATGCTCTTCTTCCTGCTCACCAGGGCCAACCTAGTGAGGCAGCTCCTTGGGTGATAGTCACTGGTATTTTAACAAAAGCTAGCATAAATGGAGCCTGCTGTGTTCCAGGCTGTACTAAGCCCCTTACACATCCTAACTCTTACTCCTTATAACATCCATCTTACAGATGGGGCCGCTGAGGCCCAGCGAGGGTACATTCCTAACATAGAGTCACACAACCAAGACGTTGTGTGACTGGGATTCAAACCCAGACCGTTTGACTTCAGGCTGCAGGTTCCCACTGGACTGCTGGCTGCAGCCATGGCAGGGAGCTGTGCCGGCCCCTGCTCCTGGGAAGGTTACAGTTCAGCAAACAACCCAAATCCTCATAGTAACTCGAGAGTGCAGCAAGTGGCATTGCCCAGGCAGGCTCCTCCAGCCACGGCCCTGTCTGGGGAGGCCAGGTCAGGTTGTTGTCGGGGCCCTGGGGTGCATGCCCCACTTCTGAGATTCTGTTGACTGTCCCTACCCCAAGGTTTTTGTCACCTTCTCCCGGTGCCTGAAGTCTGCTCCTCTGCCCTGGGTGTCCTCGCATCCCCCAGCAGCCATTTCTATCCCCTCTGCCCTCTCCCTTCCCCCAGTTCAAAAAGGGAAAAGAGGAAGAGGCACGGTGGGGTCACTCCTCCACAGATGTGGGGCATGGGGCAGAATTCTCTGGTGCCTCCAGTGCAGGTTCTGGGGGGTGATGGGACTGCTCCCCACAGAAGTTCCTATTTCTCTCCTTGGCCTCCCCACTTTTCTTTGGTAGGTGCGGTGACCTTTTGGGGGTCTCACTTGTACTATTACTTTAATCTGTTTGTTAGGTGTTAGGAGGGGGAGAACCAGTGCCCTAAGTTAAGATCGCAGGTCTTGACACCTGGTGCTGTTCTCATGGTTGCTCAGATTAAACCAGTGGCTCCCACGGTCCTGATTTTGTTTGTTTGATTGTCTTTTTAACCCCGTTCTCTGACCACAGTGCATGAATGACTTCTGTGTTTGCAAATTCACTTAGGTTTTCTGTGTGGTATGCTTGGTTTTGGTAATGCACCACAGATTTTTAAAAACCATTTAATGGGAACAGAAGTCTGTACATAGCTTTTATTTTTGTTGTATTTAATTTTTTAAAAGATTTTATTTATTTATTTTTAGGGAGAAGGGAAAGGGGGGAGAAAGAGGGAGAGAAACATCGATTAGTTGCCTCTCATATGCGCCCTGACCAAACCTGCAGCCCAGGCATGTGCCCTGACTGGGAACTGAACTGGTGACCCTTCGCTTTCCAGGACGACACCCAACCATCTGGGCCACACTGGTCAGGGCTGCACGTAGCTTTTAGATGAATTTCACTGATTATGAGTTGTGTAGCTCCTTTGTGTCCTTACCAGTGTTTTGCACACTTGATCTGCTGTCTGCCAAGATATACCTATCTTTGACACTCTTGCAATGATTGTGGATTTGTGCAATCTTATTTTTACATTTTGAGATTGGTTTATGATTGTTGTGTCTTCGTAGCAGGTTACTCTTTTCGTTGCTATAACATACAAAGGCTGTCTCTGTCCATCCTTCTGTCACTTTGCTTTGGGTCTGCCTCTGGATTCTGCCTTTTAAACTCGACCACACACTCATCATAGGGCATATGGAAAGCACACACTCATCATAGGGCATATGGAAAGCACACACTCAGCATAGGGCATATGGAAAGCACACCAGTGTGCACAGAAGAAACACTATCTCCGGAAACTCCGCACTCAGTTAACCACTGTGAACATTTTGGGTTTTTTCCTTCCAGCATTTTTACAGCATTAAAGCACACAAATGTTTATATATGTAATGTAGTTTTTATCTGGCTGTTTTCACTTAGTGGTCACACACGTTAACCGTTAATTCTGAGTGATGGAAGTGTGGGTGCCCTTCGTTGGACCCCTTTGACTTCCCAAAAATGATACTATGCTGTTGAACTTAGTATTCCTTTGGTTTGTTTGTCTTTTCCACAATTTCTTCCAAAACACAATTGTTGGCTATATGATGTTCCATTTTAGGAATGTGTCATAAATTGCTTAAATGATTTACTTTTTGTCTGTTTTAATTTGCTCCCCGTTTTTTTTTTTTTCAGTATTAAAGCTCTAAGAAACACCTTTTGCATAAATTTTTGTAGTTGGGAGAGATTCTTAGAAGTTGAGTTATTTGTTTTTCAAAGGGTTTTATTTCCAACTGGCAATACAGATACCTTTTTTTTTTAATTTTGCAAGTTTTATAAGTAAAGAAATGGCTTTTTATTTCTCTGATTATTTGTGAAATTGAACATTTTGTCATACATTTTATTAGTCATCCACCCCCACCAGACTCAGTTGATTGCATCTCTGTCATTTGTGGTCTTGGTATTTTTTGAGAGTGAGCTCTGTTTATCTTTCTTGCAAGTATCTTTACTCAATAGTTCTGCCATTCGACTTAGTTTGTGTTTTTTGACAGTTTAGTGTTACGTAGTCAAATCTATTCATCTGTAAAGTACATCAATAGGAAATAAATGAGGCTCAGAACTGCTGCTGGGCCTGGCGGGGCTTCCTCTCGCTCCCTTGCTCTCCGAGCAGAGCAGGGTCCAGTGGGAGACTCCTGGTGTGTTGCCTTCAGCAACAGAAACCATGGAACACACTTGCTATTCTGGCGAGACCCCTCATCTTCCTGTTAATGTCCATCTTCCGAGTGTTTTAATTTGAAAATTTAAGGAGCAGAAGAGTTATGTTCAGTGAGCACTGACACTCCCAGAGCTTCTCGAAAGCGCCGTGCAGAGCCTCCCCAGCCAACAGCGCCTCTTCTCGCCTGCCCTCCCCGTGGTGTTCCCGCAACCCTTCCCCCACCCTGCACCTCTGCCCCGCCCTAGCATCCCAGGACCACTTGAGGTCATCCACCTCGTGACATCTGTTCTCCTCTTCCTCTTCGGCAGTGAAAGCAGTCCAGCACCTCCCCACGGTCACCCTGCAGCCTCTGGAGGGGGCCAGCAGCGTGGCTCCCGCCGGCCTGCCTCCGGCTCCCTCGCTCACATTTGTCACCGGGCGGTGCCTGCTCATCTCCCGGGCCCGCTTCGAGGTGGACATCGGCTATTCACAGGAGCTGATTGCAGTGTTTAAACAGATGGATTCCAGAAATTATGGCAAGTAATCAGCCTCTTTCTGAGTCCCAGGATGCATGTGGTTTGTGATCTCTGCATAGGGCATTTTTCTCTCTGTTTGAACCCTCAAAAGTGACTTTCTTGTAGAGCCTTTCCGATCTGCTCCTCTCAATACAGAAAGGTGACCCCTGAGCCGTTCAGATAGTAAACACATAGTGGGCCTACTTTGTCCTCAAAGGCCCCCCAAAGACAAGACCCCACAATTTTCCCCAGTCACCTGGTCAGTGCTTTCTTGGTAGAAGCAGAAAAATCCCTGCTTCAGCCATTTAAACCTACTTGTTTATATTTTGTCCGTAGCAGAGCTTGGAAAACAAATGGTTGCCCTAGAAATAAATGCCTTTCTGCAGGCTGAGACAGTAGTTCTCAAACCTTAGTGAGCGCCAGCACCACCTGGAGGGCGTGGAGAAACAGGGTTCCGGGCCCTGCCCCCAGAGTTCAGGCCCGGACCCCCTTCCCACCCAGAGACCCTGAATTCATTGGCTTGCGGTGGGCCTGGCATTGGTGCTTTTAAAAATCTCCAGAAGAGTCTAAAAATCAGCCAGGACTGACAACCACCGGCCCAAACTGAGCAGCTTTGCTTTATTTTTTGTGAGGTTCTTCTAAAGCTGCCCTGTGAGACCAAGAGGCAGAAGCTATCTTGAGAATTCTGAACTCCTGTGTCTTATCCTTAGCATGGGCCGTGTTGTTTTCCAAAGGGTGTGGTTTTCATGGATTAACATTCCCATTGAAATGGTTTTAGCCTTTCCCTAGGCAAGTAGGAAGCAAGCTCTTAAAACCTCTTGCCTTTGAGACGTCAAGGTCAGGCAGCGTCAGGGAAGAAGCCCCTGTGGAATCACTTGCTCCGAGAGCTTTCATTGGGCCCGGGGCTCCTTGGGGAGGAGAGGGACACTGGCTGTCTTCACTAGTGAGAGCCGGTGGTGAGCAGAGTGCGGATGAGACAGCTAGGCGCAGCCGGAGGTGTGGGACGGGCTGCTCACATGAGGGTGAGGGCCCTTTGCCTCTCCTGCCCCCTTGAGATGTTCGGCTTCAGCTGGGGTCACCCTTAATAGTCAGATGCAGTTGACCTGTGTCTTCTTCTGAAAAGAGCAACCTCTGAAATTACACTGCTCACATAGCCTGCTGTTTTCGAGAAATGAACAGCTAGAATACTGGCACCCAGTGCTACCTACACCCAGCGCTACCTGCACCCAGCCATCCAAAAACCATGGCTGGAGTGTTTGCCACCGCTCTTGTTTACATACTCTCCCCTTTGCTGCTCGGCCACCCCACCGTCGGGACGGGTTCCCGGCTGGCTGTCGGCTGGGTCAGAGGCTGGGTCAGATCGCCCCGAGGCTGCCTCGGCTTTCCCCTGCCTCTGACCCACTGTGCCCACGTCGCTTTTCCCCAGACACCCTGCTTTCTCTGTGGCCACACGGAGGAGAAGTTCTGAGAGCATTTATCAAGTCGCAGCTTTCTCGATTTTCTCATAAGGCAGATCGGTAGGGAAACCTCTCTTAAGTAATCAGACAGTGTGGGGCAGTAAGATGCTCCCCCTTAGTTCATGCTGTGTATATTTTATGCTACACGTTGCTAATCGGATGGCACAATAATAACAATAATCATAATTTATAGTTGCTTTTTTTCTTTGAGCGCTCATGGTTTGCCAGGCATCCTTTCATAAGCATTTTACATTTAAATGGAAGGTAATCCTTACAAGAACCCTGTGAGGCAGGGGCCGCAGTGTCCTCATCTTTCCAATGGGAGAACTGAGGCACAGGGAAGCTGTGTGACTTGCCCACACAGCCAGGTCACAGCGCTGGGAAGTGGCAGGACTGGGCGTTGAACACAGGCTGGGTGACCACTCCGACCACCCACAGCTTGTCCCCCGTGTGTAAAATGGAGCCACAACTAGTGCCCAACTCAGAGCTTAGTGAAGGGCAGAGGAGGCGGCGTGTGTGAGCCTCACAGCACCGTGCCAGCTCAGAATGAGCGTTGCACACGTGTGAGCTACACTTACTATCCCCTGTCTTGGAAATTCAGGGCATTTGAGACCTGCTGGGCCACCGCAGGCACGCATCTCCAGAGCACGGTCTGTCAGTAGCCTTACAACCCAGTGTTGGCACCGTGCCTGCTTGTCCTAACTTGCAAAAGCCCCACGGGCAGGTACCCTCAGTTTACTCTCTGTGTCTCCCGTACCACGCACCTCGCCAGCCACCGCATCCGAGCTCACTGGAGGTTTATGAAACCAGGGAATGAGTAAGTGTGAGGATGTAGCAGAAGGCAGGGTGTCACGTTTGCTTATATGTTTCTTCTCGTTGCAGATGTCAAGACCAGGAAGTGGAACTTTCTCTTGGAAGAGCACAACAAACTCAGTGAGATGCCCACCTTACTTGTTTCATATCATGCTATTGTTAGGCTTTAATTATCTACCTTAAATTTAATGCATTTTAAAAAATTCACCTCCCCCTCCCACCATGGTGACTTCACATGCTGTGCACAGGACAAATGAGGTTGGAGATGTTCTCAGCAGCCCCCCTCCCATCTGCTGAGATGGTAGCTTCACAACAACCCGGACAAACATGGAGTCTCTCTTTCTGTGAGGGTGGGGTGCTGCTAGTCAGATTCCTGAGGCTGGGAAACCCTCTGCGCATCAGAGAAGTATGGGGGTCAGAGGTGAGCTAGGATTGCTTAGCTTAGACAGAAGCTACTTTAGCTCCCTCTGAGAGCAGGCTCTCAGAGTACTTCTGGAAGCAGATGATCAGGGAAGGCTGGAGAGGCTCAGCAGTCCTGGGCTTCAGAATGGGCGGAGTTCTGCCGGAGGTGGAGGCCTAGGCCAGGGCACATAAGCGTTTAATGAGCACTGTGGGGACAGACCAAGGGAAGAGAACTGTGTACAGATGTAACTGTAAGAAGGAGAAGCCAATTGGGACTCGTCATTTTTCTTGTGTCCGAGAAAGGGGGACATGGTCTTATCTCAGCCTACCCCGAATGGCAGTCTGTCATCCATCCCCCAAGCTGGCACAGTTCTGCAGTGGGCATGCAGCTGGCATAACTGTTCTCCTGCTGGACTCCCTGATGGCTCGTTGGGCCTCCCAGCCAGTGTCTGTACTGGTCCGGCCAGGAGAGACATGACCCGGCTCAGGGAGCTCTGAGACATGGGCCATCTTGCCTACCAGGCTAGGGCTTTGCAGAGGTGGAAAAAGCTGGGTTTCTTCCCTTTGTCTCCTCCTTACATGACTTACTATGGGACATCAAGTAGATAATTTAGCATTCTGAGTCCCATTTATTCTTTTAGTAAAAAAAAGGTGGGGGGTCTTTAATCTGTATGTACCCTACTGCCAGAAATTAAATATAAGGGAAGGGCTTTGGACTCCTTGAGGAAAGAAAGACTTGTTGTAAACTCAAGGTTAAGTTTGGATATGATGAGATATTTAATATCAGGGAACACTAGCTAAAGCAGAAAGGATCTGGGACCCATGGCTGCTGCTATTTGGGACTTATAATTCAGAGCAGACTCTGCACAAAGCTGAATTTTTGATAAGCAATCAGAGTGAGTTTTTCCTCTCACCCCTTTGTCTTTCAACCACAGAAACACATACAAGTATGTTAGCTATAAAGGCTTGACTTCCATGGAATGACAAAAAGCAGGATATGTACAGCATTAGCACATGAATGTAACACTGAAAAGTGTGACTCGAAACTCACATAGCATAGTGGCTCCAGATCTTTAGTGGGCCGTAGACCCTTTGGAATATCTGATAAAAACTATTCGTCATCCAGAGAAATGCACACTTAATGGCCACATGTAAAATTTGCATTTATTAGTGATCGCATGGATCTGGAGTTAAGAATTCTAGATTCAGAGCTCAGATTGTTGGTGGTGGTGGTGGTGGTTTTGTTTGTTTGTTTTTATTCTATCTTGTCATTACAGTGGCTTGTGGAAACTAAGACCAATTCTGCCAATTTCATAGACTGGGAAAAGCTTGGACCCAGAGAAAGGAAACCATTGTTTTCCTTTTTTGGGAGCAACGCGAGTCATAACAAACTCCAACTCAGACTAAAGTTGCCATCTTGAGTTTGAAGCGTGACCCATTTGAAACTTAGAAGCCAGACCCCTGAGCTAGGAGGCCAAGGAGATGGTGCATGGCAGAAGGTCACAGGTCCCAGCTGAGCTCTGATTCCACTGTTAGCAGCCAGTACGCTGGGGAATGTGCACCTCTTCTCATCCCTGGGGCTGGTTGCTTGTGTGTGAAATTAGATTATTGACCCTGAGCTGGTGAACACGTGCATGTAAAACTAACTGAAAATGATAATAAGACCTTCTGAGTGTAAAAGTGCTCGTCGAGGACGTGGTGGTATTTATCTTCTCCAGATTAGGTGAATGTAAGAGTTTTCCTTTCTCTTCTCTAAGTGACATGAGGCCTTTTGCTGACAGCGAAATTGGCGTAATGCCTTTTGTTTCTCCTGATTGTCGCAGTCCAGAAGGATTCCTCTTCCCCCGCAATGGTCTCATCTTGTCAGCTGCTATTTGAAAACATTCATGTCTCTACTGGGTGGCTCCGTACTGGCCTGCCAAAGAGCTGTTTCGCAGCAATGACTTCTAGATGACTCACGAAGCCAGACAGCACATTTCTGTCATCTCCCAGCACAGGGAAAGGACGAGAGCTACAGTGGTTGACAGTGGGTGTGGGCTTACAACTCAACACACCCAGTTGGCTGCACTAGCAGCATAGGGCTTTGGAGACAGTACTTAGTGGGAAACAGAGTGGAGGCTGATGTTTTCCTCTTGAGTGGCTGAAGGAACAGAATGCTTACAAAGCAGCACATTTCACACCAGCTGGATCATCAGCCGTGTCTTAATTTTCATCAGGTATTTGGGTTCTGAAGATCCCGAGGATTAAAATGAGAATGGTTTCTGAGAGCACATAGAGTGCTCGGTCCCCTGAAGTGTGCGGAAATCAGCATGCTCGGATTTAATTTGGAGGCATAAAATGTATTACTTGCATCAGTGTGGACAGTTTCTTTTATATTAAAGCAGTCGGCCTTACCTAATTTCTTATCCCGGTGATTCTGCTCTTGCAGACTCTCCAGAAATAACTGGTAACACATATTTAATGAAGGACAGGAATGGATTTAAATGTGTTGAAAATACAAAGTAATTTAAGGTAGCAGTAGATGGCTCAATCTTCCAAGTTCCCATCAGTATTTGCAGGGTAGCTAATTGGTGGTTATGGCAAAAAGCTTTTGTTATACCTTCTGAAGATATTAAGAAAAAACATGACCATGTGGGATAGAGGACTTACAACCTTGGAGTTTCAATTCACATTGGGCAGAAATGAAATGTACCCCGTTTCCCTTTACTGGGTCCCTGAGGACAGTGAGCGCCTCTCCCAGGGCGCCCCTGAACCGGTGAAGGACAAAGAGCCGCCGAGGGTCTGTGCCCCACGGCCACTCTTCTCGCGGGACTTTTCCAAGGGCAGTTCTTCAAGGGAAGAGCATGTGGGTAGTTACAGCCGTGAGACAGCAGGCTGCTCTTGGTAGTTTCATGGTAGTTCTGCCACCAGCGAGTTCTAGGTGTGTCCTCTTGAACTTTGTGATTTCTTAACCTGTCTTCCCCTGCCCCCCAAATTGCATGTTTTATTTATATCTCTGGTTTATTCTTTTTCTGTTTCTCTGTTGAAGTTCTGTTCCCTCTTAATTTTAAAATCAGATGAGGCCTAGATTCTTCCAAAGAGCAAGGGCAGTGAAATTAATTTGCCTTCATTTCCATGTAGGTCTCAGGTAGTTTATTTTTCTCACTTGTGTTAATGGCTTTGACTAGAAGAAGAGATTTCTCCATCCATTGTCTGGAGGTCTGGAAGCTCACACTTAGAAGAAAAGTAGAAACCCCTGAAGATAAGCTTCAATGGAAAGAGTCAGAGTCATGGTCACTTTTAGCAATATAGTTGAGACTCTGAACTTGTCAGGGGCTGGTAAACTTCTTCTGTAAAGGGCCAGATGGTAAATATTTTAGGTTTCGTGGGCCACGTGGTGTTTGTTCTCACTATGCAGCTCCACCGGCTGTGTAGCATGAAAGCAGCCAGGACAATTCGCCTGCAAACTGGCACGACTGAGCCCAGTAAAACTTTGCACAAACAGGCTGATTTGGCCCACAGGCCCTCACTTGCCAACATCTGCCCTAGAGGCTGGGTAAGGAGCTAGTAGGTCACCTTCAGACTAATGGATTTTCCAGCTGCTTCACCACTAAGGTCATTGCTGTAAAAGTCACGTCTCTCAAAGGAATATCATCTTTCTCCTGTGGAAAAGGTCAAAAGTGTGCAGGGCCACATGCATTGTTATCAGTAGGTGGCCTTTGCCTGGGCTGTGCCCTTTGTTGTCCTTTGTAAGTAGTGCTACCACCCTAGTAGTCTTTCTCGGAAACACCTCCCAGCTCCTTGCACGGAGCACAGGGCTTCCTTGCCTGTTGACAGCAGGTGACTTGGGGTTCTCCGACTTCTCACACACTGAAACTAAAATAAAACATACAAAGATTGGAAACAAGACAGGATGTTTTCATTCTAAATCTTGCTTTTTCTCAGCTGATTTCTTTTTAAGAATATGAGTCCTTATTTATTTGAGTGGGAATACTAAGATAATTTTTTTAGTTACTTTAGGTTAAAACAAGATCTATCACACATCACTTTATAGTTCTTTCCAGTATTTGTGTAGTGTGGAAAATCAGTTTTGCATCATCAATTGCCCTCTCATTGGCAGAAATGCGGGAATAGAGAGGGAGAATTTGTTCCCTGGCATGCATCTGTCAGCCTCCGATTTTTTACCCAGTTACTTTTTTGAAGCCCCTTCTCTTTTCCTGGATCTCTTGGACATAACACTCCAATTCACATGCCTCTCTTCTTCTTTCTAGTTGAAAGGGTGCGCTGCCTTCCACAAGTTCAACTGAGTCCTCTGCCCAAGACGCTGACCCTGGCTTTCGCTTCTCAGATGGAGAAGACGTCTCTTGGTCTCACGGCAGACATCCCTGAGGCAGACCTCTCCGGAGTGGACCCCAAGCTCGTGTCTAACCTGCTGCCCTTTCAGAGAGCTGGAGTCAAGTAGGTCCTTGATCTTCCTGCTCTCTCTTGCTCACATGTCTTCACTTACCACCAGCTGGGCTCAGATGCTCCTTTTGTGAATGCTCATCTTCCACAGAAATGCACAAGCATTTAGGCACTACACAGCCAGGTGCGCTGTTACCAAAGCCTGATTGTAACCATTGATTTGAAATTCCGTGAGCCATCCGGACTCTGCATTGCAGGTGTGCAGAAACCCCATTCAGAGTAGTTGAAGAGAAGATGTCTAAGTGCATGTGATAGAAAACCCAGGGCCTCAAAAGATCTCATGAGGATTCTGTCCTGCTTTCAGCACTGTGTTCCTCTTAGTTTGCTTTATTTTTGGCTTGACGCTCACGTGTGGCTGCTGGGGCTGCCAGGGGCTTCCGGCTCACATCCGTCAGCTCTGCAACCCAGTGGAAGCACCTCTTTCCTAGGGGTCCTGCCCTGAAATGCATGGAATCTGGGGCTGATGCTGGAACCAGTCAGTCCTTGTGGCCAAGGAGCTTAGAACTCTTGTTGGCGAGGCCGGGTGAGAGGCCCACCCCTGGAATGACAGGGTAGGGCCTGCCCTACACGAATTACTTAGACTGAGACTGGGAGGTTGAAATTGCCCAAGAGAAAGCCAGGGTGCACTTATTATAGAAAGAATAAAGATAAACCTGTGGCCTGGCCTGTCCTTTTTCCCAGAGTTTCTCAGGAGAAGCAAAGTGACAGTTATCAAAGTTGAACTTGACTTCTACAGAAAATACAGAAGGTCGAGGAGAGGGAGGAGAAGGCTTTGATGGTTCATCCAGAAATGTGGCAGCCAGATCTGTTAGCTGGGGGAGGAGTCCTGTGCCAGGGGAGGAACTGGAGGGTCAGTGGGACTGACAAATGAAGGCAGCCTGTCTGCACGCCACCACTGTGGTGTTTTGGTGAAAGCTGGGCTACTGTCTCAGACAGGGTTTTGCTCTGGGTGTGGTTTCGGCACAGTCACGCCTTACTGCAGTCCCGAGGCCCCAGCTCTGCCCGCCCCCGAGTTTTCCTTTCCCTCACCTCTGTCCCTCAGAGGTAGCACACTTTGCCATTTCATTCCCTCATCTGTTGTTACGTCGTTTGGGCCTCGTTTTACCTGGGCCAGGGGTGGTTTTTTTCCTTTGCTCTGTTCTTTCTCTGTTTCCTTCATTAATGTTGCCCACTCTGCACTCAGCACCATGTTCTGCATGGCTCCAGCAGAGGCCCTTGAGCCCAGGTGGTGCATGCGGGCCTTGCCAGTTAACCTCCTCACCACTGGGGGCGCTGTGTGCATCAGGACAGAGCGTGGTTCATGGCTCTGTCTTGTTCTCTAGGGCTCTGAGGGTGCTAATGCTAGTTACAGCCTCTCTTCAACACTTTCTAATTAAGTCCAGATTTTAACTTTCATTCTTTGAAGAGGAGGGGTTTGGCGATGAGGGAAGAAGACTGTGAATTTCATGTTTTGTTTTTTTTTTGTTTTGTTTTGCTTTTGTGTGTAAGAATTCAGTTGAAAACTCCCTTAAACTTTGGGAGCAAAATTTCTTAGATGCCTGTCAGCTTCCTCCAATGACTACGTGGTCTCCCGAGGTTGCAGCTTGAGTCGAGGCTCAGAAGGACAGCTAGCTGTCTGCCGAGTTGCTGGGCTCGTGCAAGCGGACCCGGGGCTTATGTGCGTGTTGCCTGATGATGAGTGCAGCGTTTTTTCTGTTATGCCAAACCGCTCTGCAGAGGATGGTGCCGGCCGTGTGGTTGTCTCTCTTTCAGCCCAGATGTTTGCTTCGTTCTCAGTTTTGGCTGCTTGGTTCCATAGCTCAGCTACCTCAGTGCAGGGAAAAGGGAAAAACTGAAGTTCAGGGGTCCCGTCTGCTTTGAGAATGACCATGTGGACATTGTAAATGGTTGCGCCAAGGAGGCTGCAACACAAGGCTCTGTGGGTTGGCTGCTTCAGTGCTCCCTGTGTGCCCTGGCCACCACTTTTGTAAATCAGAGAGTGAGGTAAAAATAAATCCCACACGTGCCCTCCCTCTGTCTGTCTGGGTGGTGGGTTGACCCTGGAAATGGTCCAGAAGATCGAACCGAGGCAGATGTGCCAGGAGGACGCGGGGCCTGGTCAGAGAGGTGACACGGCAGGCCGCTGGGCCCCCTGCCTTTCCGCTGAAGGAACCTGGTGGCCACCACGTGGGGGGTACGGGAAGGGAGACTCCCTGTCACTGGGTGGGCTTGGAGACTGCTGGGAGGGCAAGGAAGTGCCACGAGGGGATGCCCCTTGTCTCCCTGCGCTGCTGAGCCCAGGACGTTGGCCTCCTGCCACCCGCAGATCTGCTGCTCTGTTCACCCGCACCGAACGCTGGCCTTTGAAGGACAGAAACGCTATTTCCAGGCAATTCAGAAAGGCCACGTGCAGCCTAGAATTCTTGTCAGCCATACCAGCTGCTAATTACAAGAGGTTTCATTCTGTCTTTGCTGTGTGAGAGGAAAGAAAAAGAGCTAGTTGTCTGGCGTATTATCAGGTGTCTGAGCAAATGGTCGGTGTTTCAGGAATCAGATGAAGGACAACTGGTGTTCGGAGCAGGAGACCAGACACGTGGCACTAGGGATCCTGTTAGCTTTTCACTGAGTCGTCGTCAGGTGACTCGATCAAGCCATTCTTACCGTTGATGTCTTGATTCCTTTTCTCCTCTTTGCACATTCCCCTGGTCCTTACAGTGCTGTCAAGCACTGTTTTAAGTGCTTTACTTTCCAACTTTATTAACCCTCAGAACTGTCTCTGGGGTAGATCCTGTTGCTGTTTCCATGTATGGCTGAGGCACATGGAGGTTAGATAACTTGCCTCCATGTGGTGGAATGGGGATTCCAACTCAGGCCGATTGGGCTCCGAAAGAGTGCGGTGCAGCCTTGCTCACAAACTTTAGTGAGCGCTGCTGCACTGGGGGCCGCTGCTCCCTCAGGGACAGATACCCGCCCCGTCCTTCCCTCTGGCTGCCCCCTCCTCCTCTGCCGCAGGTCCTGCCTCTGCTGGCTCCTTCCCTCTGCCCTCGCGCACACAGCGTCCCCTCTGATCTTCGTCTCTAACTTCTCTCCTCCCTGCAAGGCAGACCTCTCCTGTGAACAAGTGCCCGCCTCCCAGGCCCTCATTGGAGACTGTTTCCCACTGTCCTTTCGCTTACATTGGGCTGAGGGTGACTCTTACTACAAACTCCCTCCCTGGGTTTCTAAGGTAGGCAGAGCCTCTCCCTACCTTTTGACCACCATTTCACATTTTCCCAATTTTGACTCCTTTTTAAATTATTATTATTGTGCGCCCTAACTGACTCCTGCTCTTTTCCCTCTTTGGGGAGCGGGTCTCTTCTTACGAACAGGGCCCATGCCGGCTGGTGCAGCAGCCCACGCTACGCCATGCGCATTACTTTCCATGGTGGCCCCGTGGCAGGTAAGCTCATGCCCCCGGGTAATGTGTTGTGTCACTGTCCTTACCTTGTCTGCTTTCAGTTTTGCCATCGCGAAAGGAGGCCGCCTGCTCCTTGCGGATGACATGGGCCTGGGGAAGACCATCCAAGCCATCTGCATCGCGGCCTTCTACCGGAAGGAGTGGCCGCTCCTGGTGGTGGTGCCGTCCTCCGTGCGCTTCACCTGGGAGCAGGTCAGTGCTGCTTGTGCTGCGGCTTTGACAAGGACGGTTTTCCTCGGGGCTGGAGGACTCAGATGGTAACCTGGGTATAGGGCCTGAGACCCTTAAAGATAGTTTTAGCTGAGGGCAGGAGTGGAGAAGAGATGGCCTCCCGAGATGGGCCAGGGGTCTCCTCGGTAGCCCCTGCTCCACATGTTCAGAGAAGAAATCCAAGGAGTCACAGAGCCAGACTCCCCTCCTCCTGTCAGCAGACACTTCCAGAGCGCCTCCTGCAGCCCCATTCATGGCACCTTCCATCTGTACTGCAGTTCATTTTCAGAACGTTTACCTCCTTTAGTTCCCATAGTCCCGTGATAGACAAGTGCAGTAGGCACGCTGGGTGTCGACCCCGTGGACAGACGAGAAACCTGCATCTCAGAGAGGGTAAGCGCCACACTTCTCGCTCGCGAGGAGCAGTGCAGGGCCTTGAAGTCGCCTCTGCTGTCTTCCTGGCTCAGGGTTTTTGCACTCTGTAGAAGGTGGTGAGGGCAGGAGGCTCACTGCCTACCAGCTACCTTTATAGCTAAAGAATCTGACGTGTACTCAGCTTTATTATCAGTCAGCCTTGAGCCCTGTCTGCCATAAATCCAGGATCAGCGTGGTTCTGCGAAATGAATAAAAATCCGCATAAGCAAACCTGATGAAGAAGGAAGCCCCAGTTCATCATCTGTAGCTTTCTCAGCCTTATTATGCTGCTGGGGCAGCCGGCGGCCTCCCTGCACCTCGGCGTCTTCCTAAGCCCCCGTGAGCCGTGGGTGGGGAAGAGGCAGCTCTGCCCGCAGCCGCTCAGCCGGGTGCCCAGACGTGCCCTCCCGACTGAAGAGAAAACAGAACTTCTAAACCGTTCATTTGAAACAGTACCAGGTTCTTTTCCTGTCCTTGTGACCTGAATCCTGCCAGTACCTGTCGTAAGGAATAATTCAACACATATTTATTTTGTGTGTTAGATGCCCACAGCACCCTCAGAAATTCTCGGGAAGGGTCAGATGGTTAGCCGAGCCTGGAGAAAGAACCAGCACTCCCTGTGTTAGAGTAGCATCGGCCCGGGCACGGCCAGGGAGCACCTGACGCCGACAGGGAGGTGCCTGGTGGCCTTCTGCTGACCCTAGGCACTGGCTTTGGCTAGAGGTGGCAGCACTTCTGGAGAGAGCAGGTGCTTGGTAGAAAATACCACCATTGGTGTCTTCAGCGTATCAAGCTCTGCTAAAAATTCCTTTATAAAATTCTTAAAAGAGTCATGTTTTTTCTCTGCAGAGACCTGCCGTCTAGTTAGAGGTCCCAGAAATGAAACCCATAGACACCCAAAGGGCCTGCTGTGTCGCACTAGCCTGGGAAGGAAGGCAGTGCGCTCTGTTCGAGGGAGGCGAGGCGGGGGTGGGCGGGTCCAGAGGAAGGTGGGGATGGTTGCTGTGTGTGGGGACGACGGGGCTGCGGCGGACGTGGGAAGACGCAGGGACACAGACTGAGCTGAGTTCTCAGGAGGCGCTGACACGGCCCACACTGAGCGAGCGCAGCTGACGGAGTGGACGGGCTGGCGGGGGTCACAGCCGGTGGCTGCTGGGCCGGATCCTCATTTTGGGCTGGTTCCCTGCTGTCGTCCCCAGGCCTTCCTCCGGTGGCTGCCGTCTCTGAACCCAGAGCACATCAATGTCGTGGTGACCGGCAAGGACCGCCTGACGGCTGGCTTGGTCAACATTGTCAGTTTTGACCTCCTGACCAAGTTGGAAAAACAGATCAAGACCCCTTTTAAAGTTGTCATCATCGTAAGTGACTTGGCACGGCCCACAAGCACTCTATCTTGGTGGGAACTTCCTTCTTAAAACACCCCAAACTGTCGTGTCTGCACTCTCACAGAGCCCCACGCAGTCTCGGGGAGAACAGAAATCCTCGTCTTTGTCTGTGGGGACCTGACATTTCGTTTCTCTCAATTACTGGTTCTCAGCCCTGGCTAAGTATTAGAATTTCCAGGGGAATGTTTTGGAAAATGCAGCTTACTAGGTCTGTGCTGGGGGTTTCTAGCCCGTCTCCCCGACGTGAGGGCCTGCGTGGAGGCCACAGGTGGACCCCAGGCCGGCCGGGAGCTCCTGGAACTGCGGCTGTGAGCCTGCGTCTGGTGCCCTCTTACGTACTGTTCAGACAGTTAATGAGTTTTCTTCCAGCAGGTGCAAGGACACTCCCTCCTCTCCCAGGAAAGTACTTTTCACTCTAGTCATGTTTAAAGGACGGCTCTACTTGAGCCCTGCCCCCAGCCGTGAGGGCACGCCCTTCAGTCACCTGCTTTCCCTATCTTGGTCTCTAGACCGCACCAGCCCCTCTGGCAGCGCTCACTGTCTGTCATGGCTCGCAGATAAAACCTCTGAGAGGGGTGCAGTTCCCTCCACCCCTGCCCCATCTGCGCAGTTCCCAGCCCCAGTTCAGGGAGCCACGAACAAGCACCCACGGGCAAAGCCTGTGGGTGGGTAATTGCCAATGGAAGTTACCTGTGGTTTTCCTTTCAGCAAAACAAAAACCCAATGCCTCCAAATGAGATGAAAGTTTCTTTTTCTCTTTTTTCTTTTTTTAAGAGTTTATTTATTTAGTTTTAGAAAGAGGGGAAGGGAAGGAGAGAGAGGGAGAGAAACATCAATGTGTGGTTGCCTCTCCCGTGTCCCCCACTGGGGACCTGGCCTACAACCCAGACATGTGCCCTGACTGGGAATAGAACTGGCAACCCTTTGGTTCGTAGGCCCATGCTCAATCCACTGAGCTACACCAGCCAGGGCTGAGATGAAAGGTTCTTTATTCAAATGTGTGAATTTTAGAAGCCAGTGGTGTTTTCCTTCTCTAAAAAATATGATTCTCTCCTGACTGTGGAGAATTCCTTGCCCATAGTTGGAGGGCCTGTCTGATCTAGAAGCAGAGGGAGGGAAGGGCGTTCAGGGCGCCCAGAGCAGTGGAGCCTCGCAGTGGAGCAGGTGAGCAAGGGCGTGTGGCAGAGACTTCGTGCTGTGGGTTTCCCCGCGCAGGGCTGCCTGCTCTGTGTGTGTGTGTGTGTGTGTGTGTGTGTGTGTGTGTGACACAGAGAGAGAGAGAGAGAGATGGGGGTGGGGGAGGGGGTGCCTTCATCCATTGGTTCAACTGGCAGCCGAGTGCCAGCCCCGCGCCCTGCACAGCGCGGCGCACTAGGGAGGAAGGGAGGACGGTCAGTGGGACAGACAGACGCCCACACAGATCCTGGGAATACGTTTTGGTGTTGTCGTAGACTTGTGAACTAAGTGTTGTGGCAGCTCAGAGCAGGATCTATTTTTATGATTTGGACATGAGACTCATACTGCGTTCATAGCATAAGCAAACTTAAATGTTTATATTTTTTCAGAGCTGAAAGGTAACACATCTTTGGGGGAGCCATTTCTGGTTTGGCACAAATTCAAGTGTAGCTTTGAAAAATGTCAGCAGCGTGCATGTGAAAATGAGTGCATTAAAAGAAGTACCCCCGGATGATGGTAGTGGTGCTGCAATGTGTAGGAAGAGTAACGCCTTCATTTCTCCAGCGTGTTCCTGTGCCAGGTCCTCGACGTATAATCGCTGATCTTCCCCGTGGCCCCTGGGCAGGTGCTGTCCCCATTTCACAGCCGAGGAGAACTGACGGTGAGGGGGTTATGTAAGCTGCCCGCAGGCACAGCGCTGGTGAGGTGGAGAGCCGCTGATCAAAACCCAACTGCCCGGGGCTTCAGAGCTCCTGTGTTTCTGTTTCCGAGTCAACACTTAACCTGCCGTGCGACTTGTAGCAAACCACCGACCCTGCCACTGGCTTGTTCCTCGGTGACGGAAGGTCCCTGTCCTCCTCCTGCTCCAGAGGAGTGCTGTAGGACAGCAGAAAGTGACGGTTCTAAGATGCCGCACTCCTCAGTTGTCACAGTTTGGAATGTGGAGCTAGTCCTGCAGTTAGTTGTAATAGTGGTATGTTGTTACCTTTGGTTAAAGAATCCACTCCCTTCCATATCCTCTGGACTTTGCTGTTTTCTCCATAAGACCCTTTTTCTTGGCTGTCATGCGGGCTCATCATCAGACAGGGAGCGAATGTTAGTTATACCCCAGGTTTCTGGGGACAGATGCAGTGACATTTGGGGGTTTGTCTCACATTCCCCTCCATTATGCTTTCGAGGTCCTTTTTTGCGGGGGGGTTCATCTTGGTTAAAATAGAACCGGGTGTGGGGTAGGGGTTGTTCTTATAGATCTTCTTTAACAATAAGCCAGGATATTCCTGGTATTTCTGTCCCAGGGCGACTGATACCACTGAGTGGTTGGTTATTAAGTGGCAGGACTGTTCTAAGAGCTTTACGTGTGTCAGCCCATTTAAGACTTAGGACAACCCGATGCGTTAGGTTCTGGTATTATACCCATTTTACAGATGGAGAAACTAGCACTGTAGAAAGGTCAAGTAGTTGCTTAGAATCACATAGCAAGTAATTTGAATGTGTACCAAAATAAAAACTTTTCCCCAAAATAATAAGAATGTATTAGGTACTCACTGAGCTTTAGAAAATACGACATTTTCTAGTTTGCTTATGCACAGAATACAGAGCTATAAATAATCAAACTCCATGTTCTAAGCATGGTTGTCAGTCCCTTGAGAACAGAAATCTTGCCTTCTTTCCTCCTCCAAGTTCCCGCGGTACTCTGTCAGACCTGCTTCAGCGACAGCACTCACAGCATCATCTGATCAGCTCTCAGTGTGACTGAATCCTTCCTGCTCTGCGAGTGCCTGGGGAGAGGGCTGGGCCCCAGGGCAGGGCACACCTTGGGTCTTCAGCACACTTTGCTTTAGTGCCGGGCAGGGATCAGGTGTGTCTTACAAAGCAGAGGCCACCTCTCGGCAGTGTGTTCAGTGCCGCCTGTGAGGTGGGCAGGGCAGGGCAGGGTAATCACCAACTTCACTTTGTACATGGAAAACTGTGCTAAAGGAGGGAGTGACTTGCCCGGAACGTGGTGGAGAAACCCACCAGAGCCTGAGCCCATACCCAGGCCCACAGCTGCCTCCTTGGATGAGAAGGTGCTGAGGGAGGATCCTCGGCAGGATGCCATGCCAGGGTCGAGCTTACCAAGGGCTCTGTTTCCATGCATGCGGGATTTGACCTTGTTCACCTGTGTGACTGTTTCTTTGCAGGACGAATCTCACTTCCTCAAAAACATTAAGACTGCCCGCTGTCGCGCAGCTATGCCCCTCCTCAAGGTGAGTCCTGCTGAGAGTGGACCTGGCACCTGAGCCCACTTGGCGTTGAGATCCGCTATGGTTAGCTCTGTTGGCCGGTGGTTCAGGAAAGCAGGGGTTGCAAGTCCAAGACTGTGGGCCATGGATGCAACTCAGTGTCAGCTTAGGGCATCTCTGCTCAGGGCCGTGGTGCCGGATTCCGTTTTCCTCCTGCCGTCCTGGCAGGGAGCGCAGGGTCAGTGCAGTTGTCCCTTCTTCTCCAAGGTGAAGGCCTGTGGACAGTCCCAGGCCAGGTCAGGACTGCACTGCAGGTCATCTGGGGCTCCTCCTGGACAAGGCCGAGGGACTGCCTCCAGCGGTGTGTCCTGAAGGCCCCCCAGAAACTGCCTGTCCTCTAGGTGGCTGCAGGGCACGGTCGTTATGGTGCTCTGGAACCAAGTGATGCTGAGATGTGCCCTGTAAGCTGACGCCCTCTCCTGGAGCCACCCTGAGCTGTGTTGTTAACAGGAGGGGCAGCCATCCACCTGGTTTTGGGGCAATCTGAGCTTATGCCCCCAAGCGAGCACTTTGGCTGGCCAAGCTTTGGCTACAGAGTGGGGTGTGGAGAGGGGCTGCAGCATAGCTTCTGCTAATCTGTGTGTGAAGGGACTCTATTCTGCCCGGCAGTGTAAGCTCCTGTCTCGTCTGTGTGCACTTGCAGACCCATGTTTTGTTTCCCAACAGAGGGAACTGCCCCCCCGTATTTCCTTCTGTTTGTAGTGATCTTTTTCCTAATACTGGGGGGTGGGGTGGGTAGTGAAATTGGAAAAGTAGCTTTTTCTTCCATAACCAAGCAAGGATCTCGGAGGTGATGCTGGGGAAATCTTTGGGTACACTGAGCAAACAAAAGTACGTGTTCGCCTTGTGCTGTTTTTATTCATTTACATATTATCTCATGTCTGTGTGTTGCACCAGCTTTTTAAAGCTGCAGCTTTTATTGTCTAGAAGAAGCTTTAAGTTCTACCTCAGCTAGGGAAAACCACCGTGTTAGATGTTGGTGCAACTCATTAGCATTTGAAAATTAACTTAATTTTTCTACCTCCCTACAAGACACACACAAGTGCCTACTCATTTCGAGTTTTGTTTTAGGAATAACAAGTTGCATGATAATAACAAGTAATACCATGCATCTTCCAAAGGAGGATTATGTCATGTGCTCCTAACTTAAAAGTCCTTTACTTAAAAACCTTGGTCCTCTGCTCACATTGCCCATAAACAGAGAGCCATTTATGGACACTTTTAAATGAAATGTTTTTCCCAGAGTGCTGACCCTTCTTTTGGGGAGGCTTTAATATGTACTCTTGAAAAATGTTAACAGACCTTGGTACTGTGGTTCCAATATTACAGCTATAACTAAAATTAAATCTGTACCCCTGATGTTTAGACAAAAGAAACTGCACAATGGATGGATTGTATCATTAAAGGTATAATAGGAAAGCTGTTCAGCAACCGTCTTGTTGATGCGGCGCTTGCCGGCCGGGCACGCAGGACCCCACGCCAGGCTCCGGGATGTGTGCCACTGAGCCAGGCTGTTGAGGCGGCATTTACATCTTGAAAGTCATGGGCGTATTTCAGGATGACACGTTTATTAAACAAATCTCTTTGACCGTCCCTATACTCCTCTGCGTCTGCTGTAGAACTCGGGCGAGTCACCAATAAAGCAGGAGTCAGGAGTGCAGTCTGCCGTTTGTGACGGTGCCTTCCCACCGCACCACTCCCTCCCACGACGCTGACATCACGTGAGGCGGGCTGTGGTCAGGGTCGAGTGGGCGTGGGGATGAGGCGTTTTGTGTCATCCTGTCAGCGGAACCTGTGGTCTCTCTGCTGTACTTCCGTCCAGATGGGAGTTGCTCGGCCTCTGCACTGTCGACTTTCCGGGCTGGACAGTCCCTTGCTGTGCGGAGCTGTGTGGCAGCTTCCCTGGCCTTGACTGCTGGTGCCAGCTGTACTCCTGCGCAGTGACAACCAAAACTGCCCCCACCCAGGTGCTGCTGATCATCCCCTGAGGGGCAGATCACTTGTCTCATCTCTCCTGAGAGCCACTGATCCAGATGCACAAAGGAGATGAATCCAAGTGTTTCTGGGATGAGGAGAGTTAAGAAGAAGTGAAATACGCCTTCAAAAATCCCTGTAGAAAGGGGCAATGGGAGTCAGTTGAAGGGAGATGGGTAGCAACTGGACTTTTGGGGATTGTCACTTTGTACTGTGCTCAGAGGTCAAATAATAAAGTTGTATACCTAAAAGTTTTATTAATAAAAAGAAAAGCCATATGAGGATGTAATTTAACACCACTTGATTGTTCCTCTAACCCCTGCATCTCTTAGAACTACTATATTCTCATTTCAAGATTTTTAATGTTTATCAAGATATATATTTCTCAGTATATATCAAGATTTTTAATATATCAAGACTTTTCAGCAAATGTGCATGAAGAGATAATTAATTTATATAATACAATCTGTGAGATAGCTGGGCAAGGTCACGCCCAGAAAATGTGGGTTTCATAAGTGAAGTGTAGGGGACATGTTGCCTAGATTGTAAGAAGCTGGTGTCGTTGTCCCCTGGGAAGTGTGGCGGCTCTCTTTTTTCCATAGCCCCGTTTGCCTGGACTAAACAAGGCTCTATTTTCATAGATAAATGTGTTAGGCAAGACAGAAAACTATAAAGAACATTTTTAGTCTTCTTTAATCCCTCCAGCAGTGAAAACCACTGTTAACAGTTGGTTATTTTTCTGGTGTGTCAGTCCAGGGCATGATCATCACTTTTAATGGTTGTTGCGTGTGTGTTACATGGACACATTTCGTAATGTAACCCAAGTTGGACATTATTTTGCTATTATAAATAATTCTGCAAATCAACATCATCTGTATGTTCGTAGTGTTCTTACTTTGCCCTCATAAGACAAATTTCTCTACTCACAATTGCTGGGCCGTACTTTTACCTTCTGGCAGACGGCTGAGAATTTCAGGCTGGCCAGGCACACCCGGCCCCTCTCCCGTTCAGCCCGGGTCACGGGCTGCGCTCTCTGCTGCACCCAGCAGTGCAGGGGGCGCTGTGCTCCCTTGGGCGCAGTGAGGTGTGTGTGGGTTTTCTTTAGTGTGTGTTGCTTACAGTGCTTTTTATTGTTGCAACAGGATTATAACATTGTTAATAAAATCCAATCCAATCATTCCTTTAGAGGGAGAAAGGCCCCCAGAATCCCACCATTCTTTCCTAATACATGTTTGTCTTTTTTTCTGTGAGTAGAGTCCTTTTTACTATGTTTATTTGTTGATTGACTAGAGGAGATGAGAATACTGGTCTAACTAACATGTATGTGCTTTTTCTTTTTCTTTTTTCATTAAAGCAGTTTAAACAGATAGCAAATAGTACAGTACTATTTGCAAATAGTACAAAAAGGTATAGAGTGAGAATAACTCCTTCTCCCACCTCAGGATCCCCAGTGCCTTGATTGCTTTCCCCAGAGGCAGCCGTGCTTACCACATTTTCAGGGTTGCCTCTGAAATGTAGCCTGGGTCCACATGAGCACACAGTGTTTCCTCTCTCCCTTCTCAGAGTGTCCTACAGCCACAGTCTTGCACTTGCTCTTCTTCTCATAACAGTGTATCTTGGGAATCATCCCACCTCATGCCATGTGACTTGACTTCATCCTCACAGATAGAATCTTCCAGAATAAATCTGTCACGCTATGTTTTGTCTGTTCCCTTTGATGGATTTGTAACTGGGCTTTGGCTGCTGCATACGGTGCAGCAATGACCATCTTTCCATACGATTAGCAAGCGGGGAGTGGGAAACCCAGTTTCTCTGCGTCCGGAAGGCATGGCGCTCTGCCCCAGGGTGACCAGACTATAGGAGGAGTCCCTGCACTCTGGCCGTTCTGGTAACTTCTCTCAATTTCATCGCAGAATCAGTCTTAAAGTGAAATTATGGGACTAATAGTAAGTTAAAATAGACTATTTTTTTCCCCAGACAACCCCCTACTTTATGTGTGCTGTGCTAATACTGTACACACGTGTTTCAGTAACTTTGCTCAGCTGGAACGGCAGGGCAGGCACGAGCAGGTTTACAGTTGTAGTACGTGAAACACAGAGTTCACTCTCTTGTTACTGTTTCTCCACTGTTGTGGTATTTTTCATACAAACAACCAGAACCCTATCTTTGCCCAACCCTGTGTACCATTTCATGCGTGCTCATAACATTTCCATGTTTTTGAAGCAGTACGCCTATAGTTGCAGTCTTCATTCTGTCCGTTTTTACCCCAGAACCAGTTGCCTTGTATGTGGCAGCAGGATTTCATTAACATCAAAGCAGCGGTACTCACCCAGTGTGAGAGCACGAGGGTTATCATCGTGCAGATCGGTTGGTGAGGACAGTGCTGTGCAGACTTGTGACTGGGACTTTGTCTCTTTTTTGGAAAAAGGCTCGAACCTACAAGGAACCGTTTTTATGTGAAATGTGCCGGCCTAACCAGAGACTCGGGAAGTCCCCTTACCAGGTGTCAGTGAGTGGTGGGTGGCGCGCTGCTGCTCCCGGGGCGGCCTCTGGTCAACAGTGGTCACAATGACAGCATTTGTCTAGGTGAGGTCTTGCCCGTCACGGGCACCGACATTGTCAGGAGCGGTGAAGAACAGAAGCTCATCTTCTGCCCAGCCCACCGCCCCTGGATTTCTCCTAAACGTCGAGTCTTTCCTCTTGCGCTCAGGCTTTCAGTTTAACTACAGATGCTGACTCTTTTGTTACTCCTTGGAGAGTGGCCACGGGCCTGCACTTGTCCTTGCTCTGTGTGCTTGGGTCCCTTGTGCCTAAACTGTGCTTGCCACTCTCCTTCTTTCCAAAGATGCTGTAATGACTTCTGAACTAATTAAAACACAGCTCAGTGTCCCTGCCACCTGAGGACTAACGAGTGTGGGGGCACTCGGGTGCGATGGGCTTGGCCTCTTTGGCACCCCCTGTCTTCTCATGTTCTGTTTCTAAATCACAGGGGGCTTTACCTGTAGCCTAGCCTTTACTGAGAACACCGCCGGGAAGGATGTTGGCTCTAAGAATGGGACTAAGCTTTGGGGAACATGACTCTTTTCCTAACCTGGGGTCTTGGTGAAATATGTTACGGCCAATCAGAATAATCCAGTAAAGCAGGTTATTGGTTCAGTTGGGGGAAAAAAGAGGTACCTACAGAAAGTGATGGAGAATTCCCAGACTGCTTTTTGTATGGACTTAAAAACAGCTTCGGCTCTTTTCCTACAGGAGAATGTTCTCTTGGCTCGTGTTTTAAACTCTGTGTGCAGGCTGTCTACTTGGAATTACTTCATTGGATTCTCCTTGGCAAATGACACGTTCCAGCGTGTCCTGCTCTCAGCCTGCAGGGCTGCCCCACCCCCTAGCCCTGGCCTTGAAGGTCGTCTGCCCCCAACAGTGTCTGCTCGTGTGAGTCACGTCATTTCTCTCAGACCAAGTAGAGATTATTTTTCACATTGTTCCATCGTGGATTTCTTGGGTGCTGCTTTCTTGCCTTACCGAGGAATTAACTGCAAAGTGTTCCGAGTAGTGATTTATGTAGATTTATGCATTGATACTTTTCCTAGAGTGGAAGTTCTCAGAGGTGCAGGGTAACATATAAAGGCCATGCCGCTGGCACGATAAAGGCATTATGGGTGACAGTGATGACAACACAAATGTGTTGGGGCTGAGCCGGGAGCAAGCTAAGTCATTTCATAACGTACGAGACTCCATTCTGGTTCCTTTTCCAAGCTGGCCTTTTCCCATAATGCATCCTCTGCTTCCTGACACCCACAAACATCCATTACCAACGGTTCTGTCACTCTGAGCCTGGGCGGTGTATGGGAGAGCCGAGTCGGTATGAAGTCTGATCTGTAAGTGTCTGAGCGAGGACCCTGGAGTGAATTTCCATCCCCTGATCTCCATCGCCAGGCAACAATAGCAGCAACCTGGGGAATAGGTTTGGGGTGAGGAGCTGATTTTCTCTTATTGATAAGACTTTTCATTTTCCCTGTTTCATTAAAATGGTGTTGAGCCAAGGCAAGCGATGCTACAGGCGTCATTCAAGAAGCTCATTGTTATTTTAATGAGCCTGCATTAAACCGTGCAGGAAATTAGAGGGCCTGGGTAATTGAACTGGGGAAATTATAGCTGGAGAAATTCATAGCTCTGCTGTCATAATGGAAGTCGGTACTGGCGGCTGCGGAGAGGGCAAAAGTGCATCTTGAGAATTGTATATACTGTATATTTATAAGCAGTCATTTCTCTTCTCTCTGTTGCACCTTTATTTATTTATTTTTATGAGGCAAGTGTATCCATTAGAAACCTAATTTCCTCCCCTAGGTGATTTACTGCATGTGGTTTCCTTATGCCACTTTATACCACTGTCATTAACTCAAGGTTTCAGTGGTTAACAAGCTATTTCTTGACAAGCGAGCTCCGCAGTGGGGTCCCTTCCCAGAGCCGAAATGAATCTCATCTCCAGTAATCTTGGACAATTACATGTTCTAATACAGAGGTGGGATATTTGGGTCTGATCCCCTTAGGTCAGGTTGGTGTCGGGGTCGTGAGAAACCTGAAGTTTGTCGCTGGCATCAACCAACTTGTATTTCCGCTCTGCCCAGCGCTGTGCTGCTGCAGACCTGGCCTGTGTAGGGTAAACGGGTCCGGGCCCGACCTTTAAAGCCCTTATTAGCTCAGAATGAGCTTCACTCAGGGCTCTCTGGGCTCAAAGCATTGTGCAGCTGAGTTAGTGATGGCCTTTTTTTTCTTCCCTCTCTAAAGACAATCAAACCACAGTTTATACGGTTTGTCCTGGAAGTGAGCTAGGGCTGGTCCTAGGTGTCATCTGCTCCAAAGTTCAACTTGAGTGCCAGAATCCATGCTGGAAGTTCAAGCCTGTTGCTGCCGCCCCCTCTTCCGCTTCCTCTTCCAGTGCTGGATTCTTGGAGTTTACTCCGTGGTCCCCAGGACACTAATTAGCTTCCTCATGAATGTTCTTTAGCATATGGTGAACATTATTAATTACTTACTTTGTGCCAGGCACTGTGCTACAGAAAGTGAAGGTGAGCATAGCCAAATCCTTGATGTCAGGAAGCCTGCCGTCTATTGAGGGGGCAGAAAAGAGAGTTCAGCGTCGTGTGCTAAGCACCGACGGAGAGACGTGCCAGGGTGCTGCGGGGGCTGCTTGGGTGGTGACGTGCAGCTGCTCACATGGGTCACGCCATGAGGTTCTCAGAACACACGTGTTCTTCCTTTTTTGTCATAGTACCTCGGCCCCCAACCTTTTTGGCACCAGGGACCGGTTTCATGGAAGATGGTTTTTCCCCAGGAGGCAGTGAGGGGGCAGATAGGAGGCAGAACTCAGGCAGTAGTGCAGGCAAAGCCTCCCTCCCCTCCTGCTGTGCCGCCCGGCTCCTAACAGACCATTGTCAGCACTGACCCACAGCCCAGGGCATGGGGACCCCTGCTCCAGAGCGTGGCTGGTTGTTCATGTCTCTGGGGTCTAGATCCACCCCGGTTCTGGGATGACTAAACGCGAGAGCTGCCGGCAATCAGAGTGCCCAGGGAGTGCAAGCTCTTCGTGCTGGTTTCCGGGGGATTTTCCCACCCCTGGGGCTCCCATCTCATTGGGGTGTTTGGGGTGATCCCCGCGTGCCCCTCTGTGTCCTTAGCACCTCTGGCTGTTTGCTTCCTAGGTCGCCAAACGCGCGATCCTGCTGTCGGGCACGCCAGCCATGTCTCGGCCCGCAGAGCTTTACACGCAGATCATCGCTGTCAAGCCCACGTTCTTCCCTCAGTTCCACGCCTTTGGACTTCGCTACTGTGACGCCAAGAAGGTATTTGTCGTTGCTCTCCTCACCGGCCCACCCACCTGTCACCCTGATTCTCACACCCACCTTTCTGTCCCTGTCTCCTGGACGGTGGTGTGATCAGAGGAATGCTGACTGAGCAGCTGAACTGATTTTAGCTCTGCTCTGACCTGGGAGTGTCCTCAGGGGAAGATGAGAACAACCCCTCCTAGTTTTAATGCTTATGGGGATCCTAGGTTAGTGTTTCCCAGTAAAGGGACCAGTGGCTAACGCGTAGGTGCGTGGAACTCGCAGAGCCAGCAGCCCCTGCCGGGGAGAGTGGCACTGGGGCGAGCCGGAGGTGAGGCCAAGGCCCTAGGCAGAGGGAAGATTATCGGCGAGGTGGGTGAAGGTCCCTCGGCATGGGAGGAATGTGCAAAAATCCTCTGGAAAAGTGAAAACAAAGGCAGCGGAAGCCTCTGAGCAGGTGGAGTGGGGAGCGTGATCTCAAGCTGCCTCGGTGGGCGCTCTCCAGCGAGCCCTGACTCCTTGTAGCGAGCGGAGCCTCTGCCCTCCACGTCCTTTACGTGAGCACAGCGCCAGGGCAGCAGGTCCCTCAGGAGCTGCAGTCTGTGCAGCTTCTGTTCTCCAGAAATGGCAGGGGGAGCTTTGTAAACACAGTTAGGCCACGGCAATGAAAATCTCGACTTCTAAAACCCCCCAACCTTTTTTTTAAGTGGAAAAAAAATGTGTATTTAGTGACATGGGGAGATACAAGAGTAGAAAAAAATAGGATGCAAAACTTTTCCTCCCTCCCTCTGTTTCTTCCTTCCTGTCCCCCTTCCTCCTCCTCTCCTCCTCTCTCATATATGCTGGAAGGTAATGCACACCAAAATGATTCCTTGGATAAGCAGAGAAAATCGCATTTTAAAACATGTTTACATCACGTTGCTCACAAATCCTGAATTCCTCCAGCGACTCCGTTGGTGTTCAGCGATCCGACGAAGCCTGCTGAGCGGAGGACGCTGTTCTCCTCACAGGTTCCTCTGTGTCTCTTCCGAGGCTGCCCGCTTCACGAGGATGGCCTCGCCAGTCGGAGGACGACTGTCAGAAGATACATTGGCTGCTTGGTTTTCCTCTTGGTCCCCCAGTTCCTCACTTTTGAATATGGGGCATAAAAATTCTAGCTACTACAAACATCCTCTCTGGTGAGCCAGAGGGAAGGCGTGGAGGAGGTTTAGGGGAGGGAAAGTTGGCTGTTTTTCCCTTTTATCACTGGATCTGCCTGTCGTGCGTGATCTCCGTCTTTGCACAGGTGAATTTTGCAGAGATTCCCTGTGCTGGGACTCTCCCGTCATGGCGTAAGCCTTGGCTGGTCCCCTACTCAGCTCTGCAGTCTGAGACTTGGGTGAGCAGAGAAACAGAGAATGGGCCTGCTGCACATGCTGGGGCCTGGGCGTGGTTCCTTCCCAGCTGCAGTTCTCTAGTACGGGCTGTAGCCAATGAGGCTTGGAGTAGCCCCAAGCACTTGTGAGGTCTTTCTCTGAGACTTGTCACCCACAAATGCCTCTCTTCTGTAATTCTTGGTGCACCCAACATGTTTCGTGGCCTGAGCTGGAAAGTCTGCTAGTGTCAGGCAGCTGTAGACGGGTTGGCCAAAGCCTGTGTACATTTCTAGTGTCCGTCTCCAAACATAACCTAACAAAGAACAACCCAGTGAATCAGCCTCATGTTTGTGTGGGTGATCATTTTTCCCCCTTAATCAGCTGAGACACATAGTCTAGGGCCCTCTCCTCCCAGTCGGCTTTGGTGCCTTCACTGTCTCAGACCCTCCAGTGGGATACAGCCCATCTGTTTGCTGGTCTGCCGGGATCTCGTTTGCCTTGCCGGATGGAAGCACAAGTCGTAGTCAAGGTCATTGCTGACAGTGGGGTGTGGGTGGGGCTGGCTTCCATCTTCTTCCCCAGTCGCTCTCTCTAATCCAGTTTCCAGGATGTCCATAATCTGAAAACCAGAGGGAGGATTCACTAACTTCTCTTTGTGATTGCTACTTTTCAACGGCCAAGGTGCTGAATTCATCCCTCGTTAGTAGTGAGGTCAGGCTTCTCAAACGCCTAAATGCTGTTCCCCTGAGGTTCCGCCTGGCCCTGCGTTCGAACTCCAAACTTTGATGCCTCTCTCTCTAGTGCAGATTGTGTCTCCTTTTCCCCAGTGGTTCTGCTGTGACTTTGTAAACTCTGAATCTGGCCTTTTTCTTGTGGGCAGTTTCCCTGCTGCAGAGGACTAGCTGCATTAAAACCTCATTAATTCAGGCCCTAAGGATTTCTGCTTTGTGGTCACGTCACAGATATGCTGAGCCACTGTTTGCATCGAAGACAGTGACTTTGGAGAAGTGACTGCAGCTTACTCACTGCCCATGCCATTTGTGAGTGGAGAGCTTTGCTCTGCAGGATCATGATGGAAATAGGACTGTCTGCCTTATTTTTAAATACTTCTTTAAAAAAGAAAATAAAGCTTTTCAAGTACTTCAAAAATATCCACTTACATTCAAACAAAGTATTTATAATGTAAATTGTAGTGTTTTGCATAGTTAATTGCAAAGCACTTTTAGCTTGTTATTGAGACAGGAAATTTGTCAGCCATTAAATACACTTCTTTAACAGAACTGGTGAGCCACTTTCCCTGTGCGTCAGTCCAGACTGTATAATGTGTACCTGGTCCCTGAAAACCCTTCATGTCTGATTTGTACCTTTGTTCTGTTTGCAAATAATCCACTTTCTGAAAAGGATCTACTCTCCCTGGACTCTTGAGGCCTATGGGATGAAGGCCAGACAGTGACGGAAGGGGCTGAAGATGAAATTCTTCATTGCCTTCACTCCCAAACTGTCCCTTCCTGCACTCCTGGTCTCCCTCTGTCATCTCCCCAGTTTCTTGTGCTGTCCTCAGATTCATCCTCTCCTGCCTTCTTACTGTCCCCCCACCACCAGTAACACAGTCAGAGACGGTGCCTTCCTCATCTTTGCATTCTTTCCTCCACCTCACCCAGTGCCTGGTGTGTGGTAAGTTTTCAATAAAAGTGTGTGGGTTGTGATTACTCCAAAGTCCAATTTAAAATCTTTGGTATTGGGTTTTAACCTGCAAGATTAAGAGCTGACAATATTAGAACTTAGGAGCACAATATCCAAATTAATTATGATACCATTTTGTTCCCGGTGTGATTGTTATTTAAAGAAGCCAGGAGGCCATGGCTGCTCTCTGTGTGTGTGACCAGCTTCTTGCATGAGTAGAGGCCACTGGAGAGAGTGCATCATGTCGAGCTCATTTTTGACCCCATCGCTTAAAGGCATTTGATGAGAACTTCCTGTTGATTTCAGAGGTTTTTTTTAAAGATGTGGTTTTTGATTATTTTATCTCTCTACCCTTGACTTCCTCTTTTTATTTTCAATTTAGCAAAGGTTTATAGGACACTTACCGTGTCTCCACAATTATACGAGGCCCACTGGCCCTGGAAAATGAACGAGGCTCAGTAGTACACAGCCCAGGCGAGGGTGAGGCCGGAGAGGAGAGGAGTGGCTAAAAATGTAAGGAAGCAGACACCCTGGGTCCTTGATTTTTTTATACGACTGTAGAAATCAGTCCTGTTTGCAGGAAGATGGTTGGTGAAAGGTAGGATTTTTATGTGAACTGGAAACACCTTTAACTGTGAAGCAGGAAGTAGGCACTCTTGCCCACTGCCTCCCCGGAGCTACCAAATGAGGGGCCAGGTTTGTGAAGGACTGCCCGGCCCTTTGAGACCCACCTCTGGTTTCAGCCAGACTGGCAAAAACTTGTGTTCCGGCCTCTTCCCCCAGCCCCACCACCGCCCACTCTGCAATTGTGTTTACTACCTTGGATGGTAGCTCTTGGATGTGTTGGTGTGACCATACTGAGGAACAACAGGTTTTTAAATTCCTATAAATCTCGTCAAATAAATGCATTACTGACATTGGCTATGATGTTGTATGGTGGACGCTTTAGGATAAGCCCTAGGGAAGATTATTTCTGTATTTAGTTTACAGGAATAGTCCGACAAGCCGAGTGTCTTGTTGGCTTTTGAGTGTAACGGACACCAAACCGTTGGCATCCCATACTTGCCGCTAGAAAGCAAGTTAATGCCAGGTTGTAGAACGCCATGATACGCGGTTTTTGTCTGCCTCACCCTGACTGGCTTTGCCCTTGTCCTTCCCGTTTCTCATACGGAACAAAGCTGGGGAAGAGAAAGCGGTGAGAAGAGAAACCCACCTGGAGGTGACAGCCCTGTTCCCTTGGCCCGGGGGGCATCTAAACGGGCTGTGTCTCGGTTCTCCCTCCACAGCACGCCTGGGGGTGGGACTACTCGGGCTCCTCCAGCCTGGGAGAGCTGAAGCTGCTGCTGGAGGAAGCGGTCATGCTGCGGCGCCTCAAAGCGGACGTCCTTTCCCAGCTCCCAGCCAAGCAGCGCAAGATGGTGGTGGTGGCCCCGGGCCGGATCAGCGCCAAGGCCAGAGCGTCCCTGAGTGCCGCGGCCAAGGAAATGACCACCAAGGACCAATCTGTGAGTCTGGGGCTGGACACGGGGCGGGGGTTTGGAAGTTGTGTTCACAGGTGTTTCTTCCCAGAAGGGGTTCTGTGGGCATTACCCAGAGTTCTCTGAACTTGCCTTCCAGTCATCACTTCCCACCTCCCCGGGCAAGGACAGTGAGCCCGTTTCACTTCTCAGCCTACCTAATCTACTTCAAAAATCTATTCATTTGTGGTTTCATGCTTGTGTGGATCACTGTTGATGGATGGCCATAAAATAAACTCCAGGGCAACTGCCGCATGATGATATATCTTCTGAATCCCTCTGAGAAAGCTAGAATTTATGCATAGTGTATTTTGAGAATGCCTCAGCATAGGAATGGTTCTTAGAAATTAGTTCTGGCTGTATTTGATATACATATGCACCCTGTAACCATCCCAAGTCATTTGCTTTAGTCAGGATAACAAATCGACGGTTATTTAACAAAGTCGAGTTTTCAACCCTTCTTAATCCTTTGCCTCCTTATTGCAGTCATCTATAGTTGACAAGTAGTTGGCAGGGTTCCCATTTTACAGGCAACAGGCAAGGAAACTGAGGCTCATAGAGACTGTGATTTGCATAAGCTCTCGTGGCAGAGCTGAGGCTGTATCCAAGCCTGTCACCGCTATAATTTTAGGCCTCTTTCCACTATGGTGGTTTTATCTTTTCAAAACAACTTCATTTAATCTGTCATTAGTGTCTTACTATAGTAAGTACTACAAGACCACCTACACCAGCTCCGTTTCTGTCCTCTTGGGACAAAGCCTTGTAATTTTCCCTGCCAAGAAAATAATAATCATTAACATTTTTTGACATTATCATAAAGCATTATCTGGGCTTAATATTACCCTGTATAAAGAAACTTAGATCTAGATGAGGTCTCAGCCTTCTGGAAGCTTAGCAAATAAATAAGAATGACAAGAGACAGCATGTGTGATTTTTTAAAAATGTTACTTTACCACGTGATCGAGCAGACTAACTGGTGACTTCTGAGAAGCAGAGGGTAGGGGAGAGGGTGCATGGGTCAATTGTCAAGCTGTATTCCGTTTATGCTGCATTACATATACAAATCTGGATAGCCTGGGGGAGATGACAGGCATAATCCCTTCGCCTTAAGAGTTTTCAAGCCAAGTTCACAGTGGTGGTGTGGGTGTGCGGACCAGTGGTTCTGAAATTGGACTTCAGTGGAACCATGAGTAGAACCAGTGTTCCATTGCTAAAATCAGTCTTGGCGTTTTTTTCCAATTTCTAGAGATAAAATTTAATAAATGGAAATTTTTTTCTCAATTTCAACTTTTTTCTTATAACTTTCTTAAACCTTTAGGGCCTGGGTATCAAACTCATTTTCCACCTGGGGCCACGTCAGCCTCCTGGTTGCCTTCAAAGGGCCAAATGTAACTTTAGGGCTGTATAAATGTAACTACTCCTTAACAGTTAAGTGAGAGTTCGGCACTGCTGCCAGGTAGAAACAAGGTGCTGGGCCGGATAAAACAAGGTGGAGGGCCAGATTCAGCCCATGGGCCTTGTGTTTGCCACCTGTGCTTTAAGGTATACTAACTTTTGTCCATTCGTGAGCTCTGCCAGATAAGAAAGCCAATGAAAAAGTACAGCAACTATAATATTAATGGAAAAATTGACATGTGTGATCATTTTAGATGTGAGGACCTGAATACTTATTAAATGCTGTGCTTTAGTTCCTTGTGTGTGTGACGGAAGTCAGTCTGCACCTGGCCCACCTCCTGAACCAGCCTGAGAACAGCCGCGGCAGACGTCTGAAAAAGCAATTGGTGGGCATTTGAAATGAGGATGAAAAGTCCCATTAACTGGCCAAGAGGCTACTGTAAGTTGTGCTGTGTGGCCAAAAAGAAAACGAAAGAGATGTGTGGGAATTCTGTACTCAGATCAGCGAGGTTTGAACGCATTGTTTTAAACCTCCTGCCAGCGCGCAGTTCCTGAAGTTAGGTGAGGGGCTCTCTCAGTGATTTCAGATGCAGCCTGGGAGTGTGGTTTTCTGAGTTTGCAGGCAGCAATGTGAAAGTGACTGGACTGAGCCATGGAAATCAGGGATGTTTGGTGTTTTATAACTCTGGTAGCTGTGCAAATCCCTTAAACTATTGGGGATATTTTGATGTCTTCTTACCTAAAAAAGGAAGCCGTGGCCTCCTTCCTTTTGGAATGCAGGCTTCCAGTGGGCTTGTTGCTGGAAAAATATATCAGGAGAACACCAACTGCTCAGAATCCCACCTGTGGGGTGATTATCATCTCTGCTCCTTCAGAGTCCCAGAGTCTTACTGTGTTTTGCCGATTATGATAATGAAGTCTCAATTGCAGTATAATTCTTCAAAACTCCTGCAGAGAAAGAGCCTAGAGCTCTTCCCCGCCCTGTGCTTGAGAGTTGCTCTCTGCTTCTGTGGGGTCCTAGGAAAATGAAGAGTTTGTCCCCAAAAGAGAGAAATTGAGTTGATACAGACTACCTTCAGCATCTTGCTGAAGCCAGATACTGAAGTCTTTCTGATAATAAGCTAAATCCTTGAAAATATGGTTCTCCTTTGTGGTCTATAATGTCAATTCATTTTGGTAATGGAAAATCCATGTAGGAAACAAGTGTTGAGCTTTGTGGTGGGTGTGGACCATCTGAACCTTCCTCACTCTAAAGCCACCGTTTGGCACGTCTGTGAAGTGGATCCAGTGTGGAGCTCCACCCCGACAGCTCGGGAAGGGTGGCCAGTGTCAGCCGGGAGCGCAGTGAGGTGGCTGCTGACATTCCTCCCAGGCCTGGACCGGCTGTGGAATCCTGAGCCAGAAGAGTCAAAATGGGGAATCATGATTTTATGGTTTTTAGTCAAATAAGGAGACCCTATGGATCTATAGAAAGTCACCTCCCAACACCCCATTGTATAGTTACTGTCCCGGCCCAGGCGTCCCCACAGTTTTGGACAGCATGACGGCTCCAGCAAAGCACTGCTGACCTGTCAAGAAGTGACTTTTGTCTCGGTTCCCTCATGCCTTCCCATCTGGAGGAAGACAGTTTTTAAAAGCTTTAAGTCACAGAAGCCAAGGGGAAGCAGCCAATTTATAAAATATGATGTATAACTATTAAAGCCTTTTCTCATTTTCAGCTGAAATAATAGATACCTCTTCACAGGCTGAGAAAAGCTGGTTCTAATCATCTTTTGTCTAAAGCCGCTTTTTGATCAACGAGAGCAGGAGCAGAGAAGTGGAGCGAGTCTGTGCAGATTCCTGGTGACAAGACCAGCTCGCCCTTCTGCCGCTCGGCAGCCCGTTCCAGTGTCCAGCGCAGAAAAAGACATCGGGAACCCCAGTGGGTCCAATTTAACAAAAGTCTAGGGGACAGGAACAGAAAGTGCAGGTGATTTAGAATTTCCTTACCCGTGGCTGGCAAAAGAAATGAGATCATTAACGCACTAGTAGTCTGCCTGCACAGTTTGGGGGAGTTTTTTTTAAAAGGCTAAACTATCAATTTCTCCCACATTAAAAGTTCAGTAGGTGTCTATTGTATAAAACCTGAAAAATGAAGAAAAGTACTTCTAATTAACACTTATTAAATAGGTTTTACCACTACAGTAAAAAGATTCACTCATCTTTTATATCACCTAATTTCTGCATTTATTATTTGGATTTTTTAAGGTACATATATTTGCTTTAAAATATATATTTATATAAAAATATATAAATATATAACATATATAATATAAATTATATATATGTAATTTATAAGCATATATTTTTTAAAGCAGAATTGAATCATATAAACATATATCAAGTGAAGAACAAAATTTATAAAACTGTATCATGAAAGCTTTTCCATGTTGTTAAATGTTCTTTTAAAATATATTTAAACACAGTGTAGTGTTTTCTCCGATGGTTTAGTAAAATTTTGCCAGGCGTTTTTAGTTGGATTTTTAAGTTAATTCAACCGTTCCCTAGTCTGAGTAACACTGCACTGAAGAAGTAGCTTACCTGTTGTGTGTGCACATTGATGCTGATGTGTCTCGAGGATACATTCGAAGGAGCAAGTCGCTGGGCCCTGGGGTTGGGCCTGCTCTGAAGGCTTTGGGACATGCTGACAGCCGGTCCCTGAGGCCAGCCAGTGTGCCACCCCCCAGCCTGCGCAGTGACAGTGTGTGTTTCCGCACACCCGCCTCCGCTCCGCACGACAGACCTAAGGGAAAGTCTCTGAAAGCACCTTTCTCCATCTCTCCTTCCATTTGTTTCGCCCTCTCCCTTTCGTGTTAGCAAGTGTGGGTGGGCGGGTGGCCCTGACAGGGTAACGACAGTCCCCGAAGGACGCAGGGGTACAGCCGTAGACTGAGCACGGCTAGGGTGCCGTCTGAAGACAGAGGGCGGGTGAGGTCATCGTAAGGAAGCTGGCTCTGTCCCCCCCGCTGGGGACCACATTGGGTCAGAGGGCCTAGCCTGCTGCAGGGGACCCCCTGAGGGCATACGAATGGACTCACGGAGTTTTGGAGCCTGTTGGCCACAGGCGAAAGGTTGAGTGTGGGCAGAGCCTCATCAGAGGCAAACGGGGCCTGCGGAAGGTCGCCCTGAGGAACAAGTTCAGATACAGTGCCGTGGAGTGGCGTCTTCGACAGCAGGTCCCAGGGGACTGGGACCTGGGCTGCTGCCACAAAACTGGCCTCCGCTGCCCACTACCCTGCGGTGCCCCCACAGCTGCCCGTGGTTCCCGGGTATCCCTCTCCTTTCTCGTCAGGCCCTAGAGGAAGGGCACTGTTCCCAGCAAGCTGCTCTTCTGAGCAGGCAGCGCTTTCACGGGTGGAAGGAGATGGCGGCCCTGCCGGTGATGGCCAGCGTCTCTTCGTCTCCGGGAGCCCCAAGTGAAACCCAGTGTTCCCTTCTGTTATGATGAGCGCCTCCTCTGTTCGCATTCTTTATTAGCATTTGTTTAGATGCAAACTATAGAGAAAACATGGTTTCCTCTCTTTGGAAGTCACTTACCTTATGTCGGAGACAGGCCCAAAGCACACAAGTAACAGTTTTGAGATGGTATTAGAATAAATGAGTGGTGGTCTATTGGGACTGATTCAGCAAGGCTTGGATGGAGGTGAGCTTTGTCAGCTGGCTGTGGACACAGCCTGGCAGGAGAAAAGGGGGAGGTGAGAGACACGGGCCATGACATGTCGTGTGTACGTTGTCCCCAGGCTGTAGTGCACGGGCATGCTTAGCGAGGCTGCATGTCAGCGGAGCTCAGGTGGTACCTGTGGTTTGGCCAAAGCCAGTGGTAAGGTAAGTCAGGGTCACTTGGCTCCAGCGATTGGTGTTCAAGCTTTAGGATTCGTCAAGCTCATGGTGGCGATAATTACGTCAGCTTAGCTCAGAGTCCTCCAAGAGGGAGACGTTAACCCTCGACTTCTCTTTCCACAGAAGGGACAGCAGAGGGCAGCGCTCATCCTCTACTTCAACAGGACAGCCGAAGCCAAAGTCCCGTGTGTCATGTAAGTGGTCGCCAGGTGTCGGCTTCTCTCGCTCGCCTTTCGGAAGGAGCACCTCTTATCTCAGTCTGCCAGAAGGCTTGCCCTGCCCTGTGAGATGTGATCGGAGATGCCCGTTACGGCCACCTACAGTGTGAGGTTTAGGGCCCCCGGCCTCGTCGGCCACGCACAGGGCAGGAGGAGGCTTGCGTCCGGAGCACTGCCAGGACGGGCTTGGGGGCCCTGCAAGGTCCTGCCCCAGCCCAAGTGAGCTGCAGCTGCTGCCACTTACGGGAGGGGCGGGGGGAAGCCAACACTGAAGGGGAGGTGTCCTCCCACTAGCAGGACTGTGCTCACTCGCCTGGAGGAAAGTAAGGGGGGCTCTGTGACGACAGGTCGAGAAGCTGCCTCCTGACTCTGTGCTCTTCTCCAAAGACGTGCAGTTTCAGCCATTGTTCACCTACGTGAAGAGGAGAGTCTCAGAGTTTGTTCAGAGGGCATGTGACCATCGTCACAGTCACACTGAGTTCTCCTTCCACCGTCGACACTAAATCTGAAGCAATCATTTCTCTTCTTAAATTTATTCACTGACTTTTAAAAAAACTCAGTTGTCTGCCTTTTTTAAAGAGAGAAAACCCACTCATGTTCACGCATCACTATGATCGAACCCTGAGGCAGTTCCAATGGTGTGCAGTTTGCCTCACTTTTTATTAACGTTCCCGTGAGGCTCTGGCGGGATGGTGGTCCAAGTGCTTACATTCCAGTGAGAATGAACTGGCGTGGGCTGAGCAGCGGCAGATGGGCTGTGGGGACCGAGATCTGTGGGCACGTCAGACGCACAGCCTACCCCACCCTCTCCACAGCCACCAGCCCTCCGGCCGCACCAGCCTCTCCCTCCACACCCTTCTGGTGGCGAGAGTTCACTGCTTTGTTCAAATCTCAGAGTCTCCCCAAAGGCCACTGCACGCTGGCCAGCTCTCCAGCTCTGCTTCACCCTGCAGGCACAGCCCTTTTCCCCTGTGACTCTGTGACGAGGCTGGTGAACTTGAGATGCATTTTCATATCCTGGAAACTTCTCTCTCAGAAACAGACCTGAATCGCCCCCACCGCCCTGTTTCTCGTCTGCAGCTGAGTAACAGATGGCAAGGGTGTCAGCCCTCTGCCTCGCTCGCTCAGCTTATGACCCCCAGAATTCAGTGTTTGTTGAGAGGGCTGGGCCTAGAGCCAAGCTTTTTCCTTCGAGATTGTAAATCTAGTCATCTTGGCACCTCATACATAGACTTGGAGATACCTTGCCTTACTCCGTGCAGACTGCCATAACAAGAATACCACAGTCTGCTGGACTGTGGTGGCTTAAACAACAAATACTTCTCATAGCTCCAGAGGCTGGGAAGTCCAAGTTCAAGGTGCCCGCAGATTCACAGTCTGGTGAGGGTTTCCCGCCTGACTTGCAGACAGCCCTGTCCGCCCTGTGTCCTCACGTGGTGGGAAGGTCAAGGGCGCTGTCTGGGATCTCTTGTAATAGTCCTGACTCCATGGCCCCCCGTAGGCCCTGCCTTCCAGGACCAGGTCATTGACGAATTCTGGGAGGGCACACAAAACAAACCTTCAGTCCCTAGCATACCTTATACGTACTTTTTCAAAATTCCGTTGTAGTTTATAGAGTGCTTTTATCATTTCCAATAGTTCTCATATCTGGTAACTCATTTCATATTTACAGCCTCTGTAAAATCACTAGAATAAGTCATATTGGCCTCATTTTTTAAATGCAGAAACTGAGTAAATTTCATGGAAGTCTCTGGACTTGAGAGTCACCTAGCTAATAAGTAGAAATTGGATTATAACTCTTAAAACTCAGCCTTGGCTGGGTAGCTCAGTTGTCCAGAGCATCATTCTGATACTCCAAGGTTGCAGGTTTGATTCCCGGTCAGGGCACATACCAGAAGCAACCAAATACAAGAAGAAACCACTCTTCCTCTCTTGTCTCTCTCTCTCTAAAATCAATAGATAGAGGGGGGAGGGAAATGGTTAATATGATAAATTTTTTTAATCTTAAAACTCCAATTTTCTCTGCTAGTTGTTTTTCTTTCTTTCTTTCTTTTTATTTTTTCCTGTTGTCTGTTTTCCTTTTAATGGGCATCTTTCAATACAAAAGCCAAGGTTATAGTGGTAGGCAAGTATTTCCAGCCTGGTAACTTAGGGACGTGGGGAAGGGCGGAGCAGTAAAGCAAGCCGTGTCTGAGATGTAGGGGGGAAGAGGGGCATCGAGACTGCTGGGGCCTCTGGCGGTGATTATGAGCCGGCCAGGTTGATTTTATGGCCTTGTGGCTTTTTAGTGCTGTACCGATAAACATTTTTTGCTTACATCATGGCAAATTTTATCTCTCTCCAACTAATTAAAGTAGATTATTTTTAGTACCAATGATTCACAAATTGAACTCAGATCTACACCCTAGCTCGCCATGCTGTTGTTTGAAAATGACTCTTAGATGTTCAGAGGACGGTCCACTTACCTTCCTACCACCTGCTTGTAGCAGGAACCTTTGAGATTTATGCCTGAGGATGGCCTTGGGCATAGCAAAGGCTCCTTCTGTTCCCACTGCTCTGCAGGAGCAGTGGCCTGTGCTGGGACTGTGAACCCTCACTTCTGCAGGGCACTAGTCCTGGGGATGCCTCCAGGGTATGTCAGCTGGGCGACTCTTCCCTACCGAACTCTCTCGGGGTAGCTGCCTTCCTGTAAGGCCACTGCTTTAGCACTTCCTTTAGATAAGCACTTATCTTTAGATAAGAGTGGGAAGTGGAGAAAAAACATAGAGAAGTAAGTTAAAGGGAAAATAAAGGCCAAGCAAATAACGTTCTTCACCTTGTATTCCTTTGCCTCAGGAGAGAATTCTCTGACCACTGACTTACATGCTGGCCCTGCAGGTGGCCACACTATGCGGGAGGGATTTGGAGCGCTTTCCCTGACAGCCCTTCAGTGTTATCATTTAGGTCTTAATACTACACACCCAGAAATTTGATTACTGTCAAGAGTCCCTTAATCTCCTGCCAAGGCATTTTCAGATCTACAGACACTTCAATTTGTATGGAAAGTATGTTATAATGATGGTAGCAGCCCAAGTGCTAACTGTTAATTATCTTCATGATCCCAGGTAATAAAAATGTTTCAGTAGCATATCAGAGATCCATACAACATAAGGATACTTTAATTTGTTTGTACCTGGGAGATGTCTAAAAAGTACAGAAGCACTCTTTCTGCACATGGCAAAAGGTGGCTTATTTCCACAGCTCCTGGTTTTGCTTCCATTCCAGTGACCTGGCATGAGGGAGGGGGGTGAGGTGCGCTCCCAGAGAAGGAAGAGAATGGGCTGGGCAGGCAGGTACCCCCAAGGTGTCTGCTGCAGGTGCAGTCACTTTTCCGTGATGAACCTCAGCTGGATGAGCACGTGTTTGATTTGCTTTGTCGTTGTCAAACGCAGTGAATACGTCCTGGACCTTCTGGAAAGCGGACGAGAGAAGTTCCTAGTGTTCGCACACCACAAGGTGGTTCTGGATGCAGTCACCGCGGCGCTCGAGAAAAAGGTCAGCGCCTTTGGCATTCCGAAATTTTTCTGAAAATTTTAGAGGTGGATCATGAATCCACCCAGTTTAAATGTTGTTGACGTGATACAGGAATCCAGCCAGCAGAATTAAAAGCTGTAATCCTGGGAAAAATTAGAGCCCTTTCTATTTTCAAGAACTCCAAGACAGTTCAATGGAAAACTATTAGAACGCATGAGTTTAGTAGGGTGCCTGGATTCCAAATAAATATACTAAAATGAGTTTCTTTTTTACTGTACCAGCTATATCTAATTATTTAATGTAATGGGGAAAAGATAGGCAGTGACAAAAGCCATAAAGTGCCTAATATTAGTCTCACCAAAAAAAAAATGTAGAAACTAAGGAATCATTGCAGACACGTGCGCCACACTCCTTGTGCGAGGCTAGAAGTGTAAAGACGCCTGTCCTTCCCAAGTTAATTCATAGATGTAATTCAGTTTTTACAAAAATTCCAGCTAGATGTTTGAGGAAGCTTTATACGATTATCTCAAAGAATGTCTCAAAATCTAAGCAGTACAGATACCGTCTAAGACAATTTTTTAAAAGGGGAGCAGTGCTGACAGACCGGCCCCTCCACATATTAAAATCTGGTGTAAAACTCAGTCACTCTGGCCGAGGGCTGGTGGCCAGACGTGTGGAATGGAGGAGATGGCCCGTTAGCATAAATTAAAATCAAATATGTGATCAGGGAGTAGTTACAGACCAGTTCACTCAGCACATAAAGTTTGGGCAACTCGGGGTGGGGAGACTTGAATGAAACTTCACTTCACTATTTACTATATGAAAATCCAGGTGAATCGAAGTTCTTTGAAACCATGAAGTATTAGAAGTAAACAGAGGCAAACATACGGCTGACCACCGGGTGGCAGAATGCCTTTCTAAGCAGGAAAACAAATTACGAAGCAAAGAACTGATTCAGATTGTCTGGAAAATGGGTCCATTCTGTCACACACATACATAGTGGTTAAATCATGGTTCTTTTACACATTTTTTCCTTGCAGGGCATTTTGGCAATTTCTTAAGGTAATTTTGCCAAACTCCTCTTCTAGGAATTTACTCTAAGGAAATGACCAGACCAGTTAGAAAGGTTTATGTACAAGAATACTGGTCCTGTTGTTATTTATAATGCTGAATAATTGGAAACCTAAATGTTCGTCAGTAGGTGTACTGATGGATAACAGTCCACTCAGCCATACAAAATAGTGATGTAGATCAGTGGCTCTTAACTTTGTGGCGATCGCTGGACCCTTGAAGAGGCGGGAAGTGGCCCGCTCACCCCGTCCCTGTCCCCGCAGCGGGTGCAGCACATCCGCATTGACGGCTCCACCTCCTCGGCAGACCGAGACACCCTGTGCCAGCAGTTCCAGCTGGCCACGGGGCACGCCGTGGCCGTGCTGTCCATCACCGCTGCCAACATGGGCCTCACCTTCTCCTCGGCCGACCTGGTGGTGTTCGCCGAGCTGTTCTGGAACCCAGGGGTAAGGGGTGTGGAAGACTTGGGGTCCCCGGGGCATGCCCACGGCTGCGGGGAGGGAGGAGCTGGGGTCGGTCGGGAAGGCAGGGCTTCTGTGAGGTGCCCCTAGGGCCAGTCGCCTCTTCCTCCGTTTCCGCTCGTCCTCAGAAGCACGATTACTTTCCGCTTGTCAGTCTTCGCCTAGAAGAAGTGAGAACTCACACATCTGTTAGCTAGCAGTTAGATTGTCACGGCAGCCTCCTATGTAGTAGTATCGACTCCGTCTTATCAATGGGAAAGCTGAAGTGTTAGAAGGCTAGAAGGAATCTTAGAAGTCATCTCTCTGTGAGGAAGCTGGGGCACCGGTGAGTGCATAGCTGTCACCACAGAGGAGCCCTGGCAGCCCCAGGCCGCCACTGAGGCCTCTGGCTGTCCACCCTGCCCCTCTGACTCACCATCACTGTGAGCTGCTTTAGCCGCTGGGGCCACAGCAGGGCAACCGCTTGGAGTGTTCCCTGGCCATGGTCACGGTACCCACGGGCCTTATCCGCTCAGCTGAGGGCTGTGGCAGCAGAGAGAAGACACTTGTTCGCACTCATAAACTTTTCTCCTGGGCTCCAGAAAGAGCTGCTTTCCCCTGGCCTGTTCTCCCGTAGTGTGGCTCTCACTGGCCACGGGTAGGCGATGGGCTTCAAGGTGGGATGCATTCTACAGTGGAAACAGCGCCCTCGGTTTCCATTATTCCTCGTAAGGGCTTCCACCCTATAAAAAAGCCACACCGCCCCCTGTCACATGTGGCGTCTCCCTTTGGAGCAAGTGTTGATTTAAGTAGGAGGTGACCGGGGTTGCTTCACGGAGAGAAGAAGGGAATGTGCCAGGTTTCCTTCGTTGTCCCTTCCTTACAGCCTGATGGCGGAGCCGCAGCTCGCTCCCCGTTCACAGCACCGAGAGGCCGTACACAGCTAGGCAGCTGCAGAGTCAGTCCCCCAACCAGCGTTTCGTCTGAGTCTGCCTTTTGTCACACGACGTGTCATTTGTAGGCTGAGGTGCACAGGCCCTCCACCGAGAGACACAGCAGTGAAGTCCTTTGAGGAAGGAGAGTTGGGGGGCTTGGGGGCCAGGGGCTGCCGGCCTGGTGGGCCCAGCCGCTTCAGGCCTTGCCCTGTGTACACCCTGACCCCCGGGCCTTGCAGGTGCTGATGCAGGCCGAGGACCGGGTGCACCGCATTGGGCAGGCGAGCTCCGTGGGCATCCACTACCTGGTGGCGAGAGGCACAGCTGACGACTATCTTTGGTACGCTGGTCCTGGCCCGGCAGTTGGGGTGGAGCAAGGGTGGACACCGGTGATGTATTTCCTTTGCTGCCTAAGGGCTTCTGCTCTTGCTGAGGGCTTCCTCCCACTTTCATCGGGACCACGTCCGGCTCCTTCCCAGCATTCAGTGGGGCCTCTGGGGTGCACAAGGGAAATCAAGCAGGAATAAGGGGGTTCTTCACCACTGGCCTGAGACAAAGGAAGAGACCTTGATTGTGATGAAATGTAGATTGAATTTGTAAAAAAAAATTCAGTTTCCAGCCATAGAAGCACTTGCCAAGACAGGGTGCAGCCCCCTTTGTACCCTTCTACAAGCGGTAGAAGGCCCCCAAGCTTCTGCCCTTTGTGATGTGCTTTGGGACGGTAAGGCCCCATCTTACAGCTGCTGGACCACCGGGGCAGAGCTGCTCCCCCTGGGCCACGTGGTGCTTCATCCACCCAGCTGGGGGTTCATGTCTGTGGCCTAAGCCAAAAATCCCCCAGTGCTCGTTCCCACTCCTATTTCCCCTTCCTGGTACTAAGTTTCTTGATCAGCTCGGTGTCCACTGCTCCTCTGTGTCCAGCCTTGTGACTGAGGGGTCTTACCTCTGCAGTGTGTGGGGGTCATCCCTACCTCCTTCTCTTGGTTTAGCGGGTTAACTGAGCAGCTCAGAACAACACCATGTCCAAAACTTTGTTGCAGTGAGGCAGCACTTACTTCCTACACGTCTGCCAGTAGAAAGAATTTTGAGCCTCATGATAATGACCCCGGAATTGGTGGTTTCACAACTGAGAGAAGGCAGATATTTCAGGGGGGCATTTGTGCCTTGAGAGATGCAAAGATGTAAAATAGCAAGCACGTCACTGCCCCCCTAAGAACCAGAAGGGCGGTCTCATTTTAATCCGTCTGCAGTTCTGTGCAGGGCGGATCCACTGAAGCTCATTTCTCCCCAACAGGCCCCTGATCCAAGAGAAGATCAAAGTTCTAGGTGAAGCTGGGGTTTCTGAGGCCAGTTTTTCAGAAATAACAGAAGCCACCGATTACATCTACAAGGTAACTAACAGCAGCACAGGGCTCCTTGCCACTGGGGCCGAAGGAGGCATCAAGCTGTCAGCCAGCCGTGGGGTCCTGAGTGGGAGGGTATGAATCACTCCTGGGACCTACCCCGGCCTGGGAGCTGAACTCGATGGCCTGCAGCCCTTCTCAGTTCAGGCCGCTCGTGCATCCTTTACGCACAAGTGATGGCACCGACTCCTCCTGCTTCTGACCTTCTCTCAAGAGATTCTCAGTGTCGCAGGTTCAATTCCCAGTCAGGGTACATGCCTGGGTTGCAGGCCATGACCCCCAGCAACCCCACATTGATGTTTCTCTCTCTTTCCCTCCCTTCCCTCTCTAAAAAAAATTTTTTTAAATCTTAAAAAAAAAAGAGAGATTCTCATAACAGCAGAGCTTGCAAATGCTGCCCCTTCCCCCAGGTCATTAGAAACTCACAGAATTCTCTCCATGGCAACTGCTGAGTCATTGCAAAAAGTGTGTAGTAATACCACATAGCAGGGCTACCACCTGAACGTCCCCAGTGTGGAATGAGGAGTACTCAAAATCAAGTATTGCTTTTTACAACTTATTTCCCCTCAGTCGTTGCCTTTTATTCCCAGTGTCTCCCATTTTGTAGGGGGGTGAACTGAGGCACACAGGACAGTGAGTCTTGCCCAGAGTCACTAGCCTCGTGCTGACAGCCGAAGGCAGCCGGCCTCCCAGCGTGGCCCAGCATTCCTTCTGTTCCAGCCCCCTTGTCATCTAGGAGAGTAAGAGGCCAGGGAGCGTCCTCCCATGGCCAGGCGGGCCTGGCCACAGGTGCTGCAAGGGCACTGTTGGCCCCTGGAGAGGACGGCCGGGCCCAGCCAGCCTGACCTGGCCTAGCACTCCCGGTGGAAGGCTGCCATGGCCGCCGCCTCCTCTGTTCCAGTGCAGCTCCACGGAGGGGAGCAGCAGGCGCAGGGACTAGCGCTCCACTCGCTCCGGTGGCGACACAGAAGGTGAGGATTCGGGAGGTGCTGCCTACTGGACAGCGAGCGATTCCTGAGAGAATTGTTCTAACGAGAGAACCTAGACAGAGGTCTGAGCCTGACGCAGGCAGGCAGCCTTACAGTCCTTGTCAGGAAACCGAGGTGCCATCCTTTCCCTGTGGAACCGCTGAGCGTCAGAAGCTGAGTTGTAGCAACAGATTCTCGTAGGCGACCCTGCGACTTACGAGTCTGAGGACCTGATCTTTACTTCGTTTCCTTAGCAACTACCATAAATCCTTTCTCCAAGTATACTTATGGGATGTGTAAGCTCAGAGATCATATTTTTAAATAGAGTATAAATTACCCTTTTAGATATAAGCAGTTAATAAACCAGTTTTAAAATCACCTAATCTTTAAGCTTTTTAAAGAACCCTGTAATTCAGTTGAATGGTAAGTATTGTAACGGAGCCTTTGCTATTCTATGCCCTGTGAAAGAAAACCTTATTTTTCAAGGATTCTCAACCATTGAGAATAAGTTTATTTATGAGTTTATTTATAAATAAGCCCATTTATTCATCAGGCCTTGCCTTCATTTACTCTGAATTAGTTAAGAATCTCTGCCTAAAGTACAGGCGTCATCCGTATCAATATTTATTTTCATTAATAATTATCAGTTAATTTTTTTTTAAATAGGGCTGAAAATTTCACCCACTACTAAGCAAACAAAATGTTGCCTCCTGTGCAGGAGACAAAAGCAAAGAGGTTGTGTCTCACTAAGAAGGGAAGGGAAGCACCAGCCTGATCTGGACCCTGCCTGCTCTGAGTAGCACATAGCGTTACCCTCATCATAATTGAATGCACACTGACAGGTATTTCTACCTAGAATGGGCTGCCTTGCGTGTGGCTTTTCCTCGGCCTTGCAGTTGTTCAGATGTAGGGGGATGAGATCCCACAGGGGACATGTGCACAGCGTGGGGCTGACCTTAATGGTCTTTAATATCCTGTCCCATATTTTTAAGGACATTTTAAAAAATATATTTTATTTACTTATTTTAAGAGAGAGAGAAAGGGAGGGAGAAAGTGAGGGAGAGAAACATCAATGTGTGGTTGCCTCTCACATGCCCCCGACTGGGGACCTTGGCCCAGACATGTGCCCTGACTGGGAATCGAACCGGCATCCCCTTGGTCTACAAGCCAGCACTCAATCCACTGAACCACACCAGGAAGGGCAATATCATGCCCCATTTAAAAGGACAGCCATGTCTCCTTTTTTTTTTCTCTTTACCCAATGAGCAGAAGAGATGTCAGACACTGAGGCAGAGAGGCTGCTTTGGTGATACGCAACTTACTGGCGGGCCTGCACTCCCCGTCACGCAGCACCCGCCAGCAGGAAACACGCGGCCCCCACCTGCGTGTTCTCTCACCAGCCACAGTGGCCAGAGTGGGCTTTGGAGCCTGGGTTCTTTTATCTTTCCTTTTCTTCCTCTGGTGCAGGACCCAACGCAGCAGAAGATCTATGACCTTTTCCAGAAGTCCTTTGAGGAGGACAGAAGTGATAAGGAGCTCCTGGAGGCAGCAGAGGCCTTCGACCCAGCAAGTGCTTCGGGAGCATCCGGAAGTGGTCCCCAGGACCTCGGAGACTCGCTGGACGAAAGCGCATTGGCAGACAGCCCAGTGAAGAAAAGGAGATTTGAATTTTTTGATGACTGGGACAGCTTTACCTCTCCCCTATAGAGGGGCAAAAAAAGTATTTAAAAATCATGGCATTCATTAAAATAAAGCTGATGTTTTATTTTTAAAGCTTGTGCTCTTCTTGCCATGACAGGGGGGCCAGCCTCTCTGTAACCGTAGCAAGTTCCCTGGGCCAGGGGTCAGCATTTCCTCCCCAACCTTACAACGCGTGGGTTCGTTTGGGTCCCAATCAACCTTCGCTTTCCTGGTTGAGACATAGAGGCAGTAGGTTGTAGTAATGGTTATTTATATTCTTTAAATAATGAGATGCTTCCTACACAACCCCCCAATGTGAATTTTTAACATTGACTGAGCCAGCAAATATGGAGCACCGAATATGTGCCAGGCACCGTTCGGGCACTGGCAGCAATTGGCCGACCGGGAGAAAAAGCGTGTGCCTCTGCATAGATTGTCATATCGTGGGAGAGGCGATAGTTATGCATCCTAGGAAGAAAAAGTAAGGAGGGAAGGTCTCAGAGCAAGGGTCGATGAGCTTTTTCTGGACGTAGCCCAGTATTGAATATTTTTGGCGTCATGGCCAGGCCATCTCCGTCGGGGCGACTCCACTCTGCCTCTGTGGTGCAGAATGACCAGAGACACCCCAGAAACAAATGCTTACAGCTCTTTGCCAATAAAACTCTGGGCCCTGACATTTTAATTTCCTATAATTTTCATGTGTCACAAAGTATTACTCTTTTTTATTTCTTTTTTTTATCATTTCTTATTGTTCCAATACAATTGTCCCCATTTTCCCATCACCACTTTCCCCCGCCCTGGTTTATTTTCAATCCCTTAAAAATGTAAAAACCGCACAGAGCTCACAGGCTCTGCAGAGCAGGCAGTGCACAGGGTTTGGCCTGCAGACAGTTTACCCACCCCTGGTTCAGAGCAGCACCGTCCAGTAGAACATAAGCCTCAAATGTGATTTTCATTTTCTAAGAGTATTTCAGAAAATAAAGAGGGGTCAAATCAATATTTTATTTAACCCAATATTGTCATTTCCACATAAAACCACTAAAATTTTCTTTCTCTGCCTTCCTGTCATTTTGTCCCTGAGGTCCTCCAAAGCAAATTTTATTCATACCTTGTAGCCCTCCATAGTTTCAGGTACCCCGCCAGAAATGTACCTCTGAAATTTCCTGAGAGCCATCCAGCTCTGTGATTTTGTAAAAGACACTTGCATTTATTTATAGAGAGACTGAACACCTTTGGGTTTAAGAAAGGATTTCTACACTAACTCCTTTTTCTTTTGGGCTTCACAGCTCAACCCAGACACACCCACCCCAATAGCCACTGTGTTTTCTAGAAATGTCAGCTGGAATGAAGAAACGGTGGGCCCATCTCATCCCCCTTCTGTGGTGACAATCAACTGTCCCCTTAAAGGGTCTACTAAAGGTGCCCCCCAGGGTCTTGTTCCCTGAGTGACCCTGGTTAACAACTGCCTCCAGGGCCGGGCAGCAGGAAGATCCTGTTAGCCTTGATCCACTTGTGCCTGAAGAGATCACGTCTTTCCCTTCTGGGCTCTGCACAAGCCTTGTTCTAGGTCACACACTGAGCTGGGAGTCAGAGCTGGAAGTGCCATCCCCTCGCCTCTGGCTTTGGATTTTGCCTTGTCTTTGCATTCTTGTCTATTGGAACCTTGATGCTTTAATAAGCTCTTTTTGGGTTAAACTTAAACTGAAATGAGGGCAAAAAGTCTAATTGTATTTTCTACCCCATCCTCTCACTTCTTACCGAGTTCAGGATTACAAGGTAAAACAAATGGCTGGGAAGCTTCAAGGGGTTTCACCGGAGCAGTCTCACACATGTGTTTCCTTTGTGCTTGCGTTTCCTGTGGGGGCTCAGTGAAGGGAGTGGACTCCTGATCATAGAGGAAAGCACTGAGGAGTCTGTGAGTCACAGTCTTTTGGGTGTCATGACGGCCGACAGTTACATGATTTTGCAACACCTGCTCACACTCACCACCCCAGCTCCAGTCCATTAAATAGATTTTATTGAGTACCAGGTACTCCTCCTCTGTTTTTAATCCCCCTTTTGGGGGATAAAATACTGAGTTGGCCAAAAAATTGTTGTTTTTTTTTTCTGTGAGAAGGCTCTAATAGTGCTTAGTTGCCTTTAACTTCACTCAGAACAATTTTGTTAGATTGTCTTGTGACAGCTATCATGTCGGCATGCATTTAAAAAAAAACAACTTACCAAATTGGTGAATTTTTGTGTAGCCATTTTATTATTGAAGATGGAAGAAAATATGCAACATTTTCCACATATTATGCTTTATCATTTCAAGAAAGGTAAAAATGCAACTGAAACACAAAAAATAGATTTGTGCAGCGTATAGAGAAGGTGCTGTCACTGATCGAACATGTCAAAAGTGGTTTGCAAAGTTTCGTGCTAGAGACTTCTTGGCTAGATGATGCTCCATGGTCAGGTAGACCAGTTGAAGTTGACAGTGATCAAATCGAGACATTAATTGAGAACAATCAATGTTCTACCCCATGGGAGAGAGCCGACATACTCGAAGTATACATATCAATAAAGTTATTGGTGAAAATGAAAAATGTGTATTTTATTTTATGGAAAAAAACATAGGGACTTTTTAACCAACCCGAAATAATACACAAGAGAGTTTACAAAGCAAACTTACAGCTTAACAAAATACTATAAACTCCTGTACACTCTTCATCCCAATGTTACAGAACACAAGCAAAGTGGGACGAAGGGCCAAGGGGGGAGTATAATATACTATTACCCTATTACTGAAAGGACCCCCTACTAGGTTTGCTTTGTTCGCCGCCCGAGGAAAGACTCTCAATGCCAGAGATTTCTGAAAAGGAAAGGAAATGTTTATTTAAAGCTATATAGACTTAAATTAGTGACCTCATGTCTTCATTAAAATATCAAAGTCCTTTTGGATACCCACAGATGCCCACAATGCTTCCTTCTTCCCCTGCCCTAGTTTGGGGTACTGTATATCAGGAAAAGAAGTAGATTCAGGCTCCCGACACCATCAGCTGTGTTGTCGGCCAGGATCAAGCTGTGTGGTTCTCCTTGGCAAAGCTGGGAGGGTCTCCACTCTGCCAAAGCCGCATGGTTCTCTCCCTACTAAAGCTGTGAGGGGGTCTCACTCTGGCTTAAGCCAAGTGATTTTCCTTTCTATTGCTGCAGCCGCATGGTTCTCTCCCTCCACATGATTGCTGAGTCTGGGTTTGAATCCCCATACCAATCTTCCTCTGCAGCCCCATTTCCAACTCCTCCCACAGTCAGCTACACTTGCCAGCACTCCCACATCCTTCCAGCTTTACTGGGCTGCCATAGTGAGTCTGGGCAGGCATGCCCCCATGGTGTGGAGCCAATCACTTCCAAGCTCTCACGCAGGTGCTATAATCAGGGGGACCTGCACCCCAGTTACATCTTGGGAGGAAGTCACTCCCTTCTCCCTGGCTCAAAGCATGGCCACAGCTGTTTAGCATATCTATGAAACCAGTTAATGGTTATAGACATGTTAAATGACCATGCTAGAGGTTAGCTGCAAAGTTGTTGCTGAACAAAACAGCCCTGCATGTTCCTGCTCCATGTGCCCCTTCCCCCAACTCACACCTGTGGGGGAAGGGGTGAGGACATCCTAATGTTTCCTGGACACTCTGAGTTCTGGACCCCATTCCAAATGCCTGTTTGGGGCCCCACTCTTGGCTGCACCCTGTTACACCAAGGCTATGAATACAATACCTTATGGAAGCTTTATTGTTTTGTCTTTTAATGTTTAGGTGTACAATCCACCTGCAGTTTAGTTTGCTATGCAGGGTAAGGTCAAGGATAGTTTTTTTTCCATATGAATATGCAGTTACGTCAGCACCACTTATTGAAAAGACTCCTTTTACACACTGCTTTGCAGTGACTTCTTTTTCACTGTGACAAATTGGATATAAAAATTAACCCAAAAATGTGTAAGTAAAAAAATGACAACCTACATTCTCATTCCTTTGACTCTTAGCCCTACTTCATAGAGGTAATAACTAATTTAAGCAATTTGGGATGGAGGCATTTGTAGTATATTTCCAATGCATATAATTATGTAGAAATATACAACAGATCCTCAAATACCACTGTTTCATTCAATATTCTTTTGTTATAACATTGATGAGATGCTGTAGGACCTCAGCTCTTGTTTATGTCAATTAGCCTATGGTAAAATTGGTTTCCTTACATGTCATTCCACTTAAAGTCACAGACCCTAACAATGGCATGAAGGGCCACAGAGTAGCTCCATTCCTGATGGGGATGGTGCCTATAACAATGCCCTGTGAAAACTCCATTGAAACAGCGATTAGAATGCATTTGAAGTAAATCTGTGGAGAGAAGGGAGGAAGGAAAGAACGCATGTGCTGAATGCATTTCACATGCTGGATTCTTTCTGGGCATCAGGGCTCAGCCTTGGCCCCCTCTTGCTGAGTCAGCCCTCCCCTGCAGAGCTTGGACCACAAGGTTCTTAGTGACCCCTCTGCAAACTTTGCTGCTGTCTGTAGTGACCAGACACTTCAGTGAAGGGCGATGCAACAGAAGTTCTTCCAGCAGTAAGCTAAGCGAAGGAACAACATGGAGCCTGGGTCTCCAGAATAAGGCCCCATCTCCAGCATGAGATGGATCAGGGGTGATGGTTGCCCCTCAGATTTCTCTGAAAGATAAAATGTTCCATATGCCCCCAGGAGAACTGGTTGACTCAACAGCTAAAAGATCTCTGGAAGCAACTTTTAACCGACTTTTCTAAAGGCAAAGTGAATTTTGAGTGCTCCTGAGGACCAGGGGTGACTCACCAGTGATTTTTACTGACACTTTTATGGATACACATTACAGTCAACAATCTGTACAGCTGATGGTCCTCAGATGGGGATGGAGATCATGGGACCACAGATGAGACAAATGGAGATTTTTATGGGAGGCACAATTCTCTGAAGCCACTGGGAGATGATTTCATGAGCATGCTATTTGTACACCCTCAAGGTTGCTATTTAAAGAAAATTGTTTAGTTTTGACAAAATCGCTCTGATCGTGAACAGTTTCCTCCCATTATGAACTAGTACATTTTCAGCCCCTCTATTGCATCCTTACTCTTGCAGAGGATGGGTGTGGGAAGGTGGTAAATGTTCTAAATGATGATCTGAACTAAATTCTAGAGCCAGCCCAGGAGAGTCCCCCTCCACTTAGGCTGCCCTAGCGTGAGGCTGGCTAGGATCCCCCACTGACCAGGGCGAGTGAACTCCACTGCTTGGCTTGGGGGTGCAGGCTGGAGCGTTGGAGTGCTTGTGTTTTAACACAGCTTCTACTAGCCCCTTTTTGCACCCATGTATATACATTTTTGTTTTAATGAATAGTTTTCTGGGAGCAGGGCATAATTTTGGTGGAAAGTTTTCCAAGTATCATTCCCCAAGTATCCTTCCCCGCATTCTCCTGCTGGGGAAGGTGAGACTTGCTCCTTGGGCCCTTTGCTATTCTTCACCCTAAAGTGGAAAAGGGTCCATGGAGCCCGTGATGCAACTGAGAGAACTTGAGCACATCCCACTCCCTTGGGGGACCCTCAGGTAGCAGCAGCTGTGACTGTAATAGGTTCATTTTGTTCAAGGTAAAGAGACTAAGGAGAAAAACGATGGGCATATTTTTAAGGGAAATCAGGAGGCAGATCTGTTTAGTCCCCTGGGTGTGGCAGAAGAAATAGCATTAAAAAGGCACTGGAGACAATGAAATCAGGTCTTCTCATCATCTTAACAATAACAACCATCACTTAGAAATGCCCACTAGGCACTTCATCGAAGTTATTTCATCCTCCCGAGAACCTGACAAAGGGTACGGAATGCAATCCTCACTCTGCAGCTGAGAAAACAGCTTGCATCGTGTGATATGGCAGAAAGAGCACTTATCTGGAAGTTATTTATTAGCTGCACGATCTTGCGCAAGTCATCTGACCTCCCTGGGGGTCTCAGTTTCCAGTATGGGTTAATTGTCTCACACAGGTGTCCATCCTGGGGTCCGCACAGCTGCATGCCACCCGTGATGGCTATGAATGCAGCCCAACACAGAATTGTAAATTCACTTAAAACCTTTTTTATTCTCATCAGTTTTTAGAAGTGTTTGTGTATTTAATGTGTAGCCCAAGACAACTCTTCTTTCAGTGTGACCCAGAGATGCCAAAAGGCTGGATGCCTCAGGTAGAGCCTTTCTTAGTTCTAACAGAAGTAGAGTGACCCAGACAAACTAAACCCTTTACAAACCCATCTCATCATCATACAACGCAAGATACCATTTCCACTTTCAACAAGTATCCGTCACCACAGACTCGTGCCAGGCTCTCTGCACAGTCCTGGGATGCAGAGGCAGACACATAGGCCTTGCCTCATGGAACTGACTTGCAGTGACCTCGGGTGGTTGTGCTTTTTAAATAGACTCTTAACATCTTATAGTAATATGGCGCATTGGAGTGGAACCTTGGTTTTTAGTCACCACCGTGTCGGTTCTCCTGCACAGGGCCTGCTGCTTTTAAAAGATACGATGTAGGGAAAGAAAAAATACTAGTTGGAGTCACAAGATTTTAGCACTTCTCGAAGCCAAGAGCCAGTGAACAAGTCCCTTAAAATTTGAATTCTTCCTTGTCCAAAAAAGGGAGGAAACGGTATCCACACTGCAGGATTTGTGAGATGTAAGAAAACGTGGATGCATAAGGGGCTTCCACTATACTCTGCTACTATGATTTGTCAATCGCAGTAAACCTGGCGGAGAAACTCCCCGCCACACAACCCAGCAGGCCTTGCGATTGAAGAAACCGCCCGATCACAGAGCTCAGAGCCTAGCTGGGCCTCACACGCACCACTTCCGTTCGTCTTCCTAAAGCCGCGCTTGCGCAGTGCGCCGCTTCCTCTTGGGGTCCGACCTCCTTTGCGGCAAAATGGTAATCGTCTGTCTCGTTGAGGCCTGGGTTGTTTATCCACCTGCATCTGTCCTTCTTTTGGTTTCTTCGCCCTAATTCACCTCTGCAGGCTAGCCCTGCCCTGTGTCCTCGGCCTCCGTGCCTTTGTGGCTCCTCTTGGACGCACACTGCAGCGGAGGAGCGGAGTGGAGCGGCTGGTCGGGGCCCGGGCCATTCGGGCCGGTTTAGGAGGAAATTCTTGGAGCACCGGGGGTCGCTTTGGCCCCTGGTTGTTCCGGGGTGGAGTTGGGGCAGCTAGGGCACAGGCAGGGGCTGGGTGAGTGGAGAAGTAGTTACGGAGGCTCTGGGACTTGGGGAAGTGGGGCAAGCTCTGTCTTTTCGGGGTTCTGATAACGCTGGTTCGTTCTTATCAGGCCAAACGCACCAAGAAAGTCGGAATCGTCGGTAAATACGGCACCCGTTATGGCGCCTCCCTCAGGAAGATGGTGAAGAAAATTGAGATCAGCCAGCACGCCAAGTATACTTGCTCCTTCTGTGGCAAAGTGAGAACGGGCTCGGCTCGGGTCGGGGGAGAGGGAGGGAGCGCAGGGGTCCTTCCGGGCGTCTCGAAGTTTGTAAACAGCGCTGGTGCCGAGCTGTTCAGCAGTTCGAGCCGTGCGCACCACGGACGATCAGTTAGTTATAAGGTGACGGAGTATTGTTGCATACTTTGGATTTGGTGAAACGTTTTTCACTCTCAGCAAACCACTTGGGAACTAAAGGGTTAAGAATGATGACGGAGCCCCAGCCTAAGCCAACCCTGCACTGCAGAAACGATTCTGGCGGTCCTGTGTGCTGGAGCTGCTAGAGGTTTTCGTGTAATATCTGTATTACAAGGACTTGGTTACAGCGGTTCTTGTTTTTGTTGTTCGGGGTGGGAGGGGGTCTTTCATATCTTGGGCATTATCATCACCGTGACTTCAAATTGTGCGTGAAGAAACTTAGGGGTGTTGTAAACAACCTCACTAAAGAGGATGCCAACTTTCATTTTCTGGTGTAAGTCAGACTCCTGGGTGCATTTGACCCACAGGGAAAACGGGTTGTCTCTTGCAGACCAAGATGAAGAGGCGAGCGGTGGGGATCTGGCACTGCGGCTCCTGCATGAAGACGGTCGCTGGCGGTGCCTGGACCTACAAGTGAGTCCATTTCCTTGTGGTGTTTGGAAGTGTGTGGCCCAGTTGTAGTCTAGGCTTGACACTGTGGGCTGGTTTTTTCTCTTAACAAGACTGAGACAGTAAGGCTGCTTTTGTTGTCCCCACCCCCCAGGACTTTTGAGTTATGGTTTGAGTTATTCAGAGAAAGCAAACTACTGAAGTAACAAATTAAGTCTTGATTCACGTTGAAGTCCTTAGGGTCATATCACGAGCGTGGTCATAGCACTGTACAGGTGCGGTAGTGGGGACTTTGACTTGCACCTGCAGGCTGCTGCTCTAGAAACGGAGGGTTGCTTAGCTTATTAACCGTGTGGAGACTTGAGGCCGTCTGGACCACTACGCATTTGCCACTCACAGTATTATTGGTTGGGCCTCTGTGAGCCTGACAAGGGCCAGGTGATGCTGCTGAGATTAACTCTGTGCTGGTTTTGGATTGTGTGGCCTCTTTAAGGTGGCTCAGCTCTGGAAGTTGGGATACTTCCGTGACTCTGAAGGGGTCTAATCTTGGAATTCATTGCCCACCCTGAAGGCTGAGGTGTTCTTCCTCTGGCCAATGTCTGGTCTTGTGCTGTCCAGTCTACTAGCCATCTCTATATAAGATGGTTTGGCTAGTGTGGTTGAAGAATTGAATTTTAATTTAATTTTAAAACTGAGGCACTGTAAAATTGGAAAATGTTGAAATAATTACAACGGGTATGTGTATAAGTGCCTGTGGGGTTTTCGGAGGGCGGAAGGCAGGGTGGGGAGTAGGGAGTTCTCTTGGTTGTGATAGTAAAACGAGTTAGCATTCAGATACCTCCGGGGTGGGGTGGGGTGGGGATGTGTTTTTCAGGTACTGTTCCTAAATCTTGTAGTAATTGATAGCTGTCTTTCCAAAATGTGCTTTAGTCTGTTCTACCGCCTTGGACATGGTTTTCTTGGTACCTCTTATTGATTGTACCATTTTATAATTTATTAGTTTCTTCTAGCGTTTTGTTCATTACCCTTTTTATGAGTTTACGTCAGTCTCTTGCAACCATTCTTCCATGTTAATGTGTTCATGCTCTGTTTGAGAAGTCAGATGCAAGAGGTGGTCTGTCTCATTCTGCGAGCGCCCAGAGACGTGACACGGAAAGGATGCTATCTGTCATCATTTAGATTGGACTGTAAAAACGAGGCAGATCTGCTCATTAGCCATTTCACGTGTTGACATAGTTAATTATGTTGGAACCAAATTTGTTTTTCTTTCCAGCACCACTTCTGCTGTCACAGTAAAGTCGGCCATCAGAAGACTGAAGGAATTGAAAGACCAGTAGAAGCTCCACAATTTGACGCATTGCTAGCCTATAATAAAGGGGTTAATTTATCTAACAAAGTTACTTTGGTTTGTTGACTTTATTAAGTAGATGTTCTGGTTTCCATTATATTAATACTGGTTTCTGCCCATTCAGTCTCGGGATACATTGGTTCAAATTGTGCAAACTTGTTTTTAGATCACAGTTAATATATTTTTAATGTTTCTAAAGATAGAGTGGACAAATCCTTCCTCTTGATATTTTGTCTATTGTTACCATCCTCTTCAGAAAACTAAAACAATTAGAATTTCAGAACAACTTCAGCAAATACCTATATCAGTCTCCATTTTTCAGTCTACATACAGGATTCCCAGGATTTATTCAGTTTGCTGTAGATAGTCACACTAATAAAAAACAAAATTCCTTGTAGGTATTTAAGAGTTGTGAATAGTTGAGATTATGAGTAACATTTATTCAGCCCATCTCTTAAATGCTCTGTCAGGCCTCTGCTCAGATATGTCCCTTCAGTTCTGCACTGGCTCTTGGCTCAGACTCTCAGAGTAACACTGTGTGCCAAGCTCTTAGGAAACTGATACCAGCAGTAATCTACAGGTATTTTAATTTGGGTTATTGTTTCCCCTGACAGTTTGGTTCCCTGTCTTATCCCCAGTACCTAGCATAATTCCCTGCTTGCTGTGGCTAAAATGATGAGTGTGTGTGTGGGTCTGTTTTGTGACAAAATAATGCTAACTGACTTGGTCCTGTCAGGCATCATTAAGTACCGTTAAGAGTGGGACCAGAATTTACAAGTCAGGGTTGTAGAAGAGTTTGACACAAGTCTTCAGGAATCCCAGTTGAAAGGCTAAGATTCCACATCAGCATAGGGAGTTGAATAAATCAGGTGGCTGGGTAGTTGGGTGGTCTGGGTTCAGTTACTTGACCTCTAAGTAAACTTCCTGAACAATGTCTGGGTAGAGTAGAAAGGGGTATACAATGGCAGCTGGGGTTACCAATTAGGAGCCTTACTTGAAAGCTTTCGTGTAACTGCCTAGGAATTTGGATGTGATTTTGTAAGCAACACAGAACCAGTAGAATTTTGTAAGCAGTCATTTTATATTTAACCTTTGTTGAGCCTGTGTACTCTTAAGTGCTGAATGTCATTTAATTCCACAAGTTAATGAAGTGTAGATAATATTCCATTCATACATGAGAAAGTTGCACAACTTGCCAGTGATGCAGCTGGGGTTTGAACCCCTATATTCCTGGCTCCAGAGCTGATAATTCTGGACACTTTATTGATTTTAACATTTTTTATGATAGTTGAAGAGGAGTGGATAAGGGACAGAGACCAGTTAGAAGACTATTGAAGTAATACACTTTTGTGGTTAAGGAAATAATGACTTTCTTGAGGTTTCAAAAGGCAGCTGGTGGGTCTGAAAATTAGGTTTTTGGCTCCTAGTCCACATATGTTCCTTAATCTGTTTCGTAAAGGTCCCCATCTTCATGTTGCTCTTTTAAATGCAGCCTCGCCCACTCCACAGTGGGTTTCTGAGCCTTTGGTTTTCAGTCATTTAACTGACTGCATCAGGACATAAAGCTGATTGGAGTGGGTGCTCCTCCCTAGACTGTAAATTATATCACACAGTATCCTAGATACCAGTTTGGGTGCTCTCATGAACGTGTAGGCGTCCAGAAAGCCAAAGCAGGAGCACGTCTAAGTGCAGGTTTGGGTCTGGTGTGGAGATGCAGGGTGGGGGTACTTGAGCCTCATTTTCGAGGATTATCGGTGAGAAATGAGGATTAGAGACCAGGTTCTGGGGCTGGTCAAGAATTTTGGGAGGACCCAACTAAGATGGAAAATACATCTGTAGCAGCAGTTTTGAGATGAGAATCTAGAGGTCTACAGAGTTGGAAGTTGCTTTTACTGTCTTCTGGAAAGGCAAGAGCCATTTTGTTGTTGATAGCACTAGGCCGAGATTCAATGGTAAAGAAAGGAAATTTTGGTTATGTTTGGGATTTATTAGTCAAACTAAATTGAGGGTCACATTGGTATTGCACCACAGTCACCCCTGTAGGCCAGGGCCCTTGAGAATGATGTCAGAGTGCGTGGTATGGGGGATCCCGAAGACCCACATGTATTTTTATGGGTTCAGCTAGTGAAAGGGTGAGGGTGGAGACCGTTCATTGGGCCAGTATCTGCTGACCGCCCTGAAATACAGGTGTGGCGACCACTCAGCTCACGAGTGGAGTTGAAGCAGCATACCTCATTAAACTCAGTGTAGAAAACCATGGCAAAAGTGTTCAAAAGTAATTAATGCCAATTTCTATGAAAATGATAGTTTCCCTTTTCCCAGAACTCTGCAAAATGTTTCTAAAATTTATTTGGAAACGGCAAAGTAATGTCTATATAGTTAAGAACATTGATTCTAGAGTCAGAAGTAGGAGTTTCAGTCTCTTGTTAGCTAGAAACTTCGGGCAAGTTTACTACCTTTCTGAGTTTTAGTTTCCTCATCTGCATAAAATGGGTATAACAGTTTTTCCTTTAAGCAACACATCAGGTAAGTTTGGTTTGAAAACACTCAGCAGTGGGACCCAGGAACCCAGGAAAGTATACTAACCTGACAGTCACTGGTGCTGTTCTTCAGTTGGGGTGTTATGCCAAAAGCGGGGGTCAGGAGGGAAACTGCCTGTGCAAAGGATGGTTGATGACTTGGGAAGGAAGGTGAGCTGTGAGCTTCTGGTTGTAAAAGCTTTTGTAAGATGGGTTTTTGGCCTAAGGGTAAAGAAGCTAAAGCAAGATTTTTGGTAGTAGGAAACCCCTACATACCCTATATGTGTGCATGTGCACACGTGTGACCACATGACCGACCCTTAATGTAGAGGGCTGTTTCTGTGGTTTAAATTTCTCAGGCCGTTGGGATATTCCTCGTGAGAGCAAGGTTGATTTGCTCTTATGCATCTGATCTTCCTGGGCTGTTTGTGTTGTCTGTGTGAAGACATGGCCTCTCTGTCATGGGTTAAATTCTAGCTAAGGCTCAGGCAGTAACTTTTCCAGGTGTTTTATATAGGCATTTTAGTCTGATTATAGATTACTTTGCCAGTGGTAGTTTACCTGTGGAGAAAATAAGTGTGGGTTGGCTTCATCTACACAGAAACCATAAAAGGATTACCCCAAGTACTATGGGAAAAGTAAATGGAACCAATCAGTTATCTTCAGAGAATTCGAATCAAATGACGTAGGAGCTGAGTTTTACACTACTCAGGCAGAGCACTAAGCTTCAGGAAGAGTTGTGGACTCCTGCTGTCGATCACAGCGCTGCCCCAGTCCCTACCTGTTGCAGCTGGTTTTTTGGTTGCATGCAGTGGAGACTGACTCAAGCTCATTAAAGCAAAGTATTTATTGGAGGGTCATGGAGGGCTTCACAGTACAGAAGAAAAAGACTAGGTTTGTAAGGGGAAGAAACCCAGGCATCTTCACGGTTATCAGTGGTAAAAGCTGAAAGTCTCCTTAAGGATGGATCACATCTGTTTTATATTTTTACACTGTTCAGGAGTCAAAAACTTGAACATCCAGTTGGCCTAATTGAGGTTACATTTCCATCCCTTGGCACCTCAGTCTCACCAAGACTACATACGAAAGGAAAAATCTCTAAAAGGAAATCAGAGATTGGCTATAATTTTAGGAGGGCAAGTGTCCTTAACATCAAAATTGAATTATTTGGATTGGACTCTTACTACTTTTTAAATAAACCATCTAGTATAAAAGGAACACTTCTTGTATTTTGTTCCTCAAACTGACCTTGCAAATTGCAGCTCATGTAAGAACACAGCATGGCCAGAAGTGTACACTGAATTGTTTCCCAGCTTCGTCCTGGAAACCGGAGGGCATCGACCGTGGCCGGAGCAGGAGCTTCTGGAGTTCAGCCAAATAGGTGATGTCTTGGATTGAGTTATCAGTGGGTAATGTGGAGTAATGGCTCCCATCCTCCTACCCCATTCCCACCATGTAGAAGGAGATTAGACATAGTAACTGGTGAAGTAACTTTGTCTTCTGGTCAGTGGAGGGAGGGCTACTAGATTGGGAAAGGTCAAGTACAAACCTCTAGAACTGTACTCTCTCCCCAATCCCAAACTCACACCAAGATAGAAGAAAAGGAATCTCCGGAATCATAGATGAATGGTACCACCAAACAACTGAAGTTGTCATGAGCAATGGTCTCGTGATCACAGCCAGCTTCAGCCGTGATTCTGAATGTAGTTGTCTGTGGAGTACATCAGTGTCATACCCTAACATGCTGTTAGCCAAGTGTTCTTTTCCTCTTATCTCTGTCTACAAAGTAATGAAAATTAATTAGAGGAACAGCAGTATACTTTAACTGTTTTACTTGAGGGCTGTCAATGCATTCTCTTGTCATAATCCTGAAGGATCTTTGTCATGTTGATATCTCACATGTATTTATGTGTTACACTAATGACATAACTGGATTGAGTATCTATAGGCATATGGTCCTACTGCCTTGGTTCCTTCCTTTAATTCAGTTGGCCTCTTTGGAGCGTTCCCTATGTCAGCTAATGGGAGAGGAAAAAGTACTTTATGGACGGGTCTGCATGCTGTACAGGCATTAGCTGAACGTGGACAGAGGTAACCCTGAAAGACAGTAGTGAAGGGGAATCCTAGTGTGCAGAACTTAGGGTATTATCCACTTTGCATACACAAAGAGACATGGCTTAAAGTATCAATATTTTTTTAACTGGTTCATGGACAGGGGTTAATGGGTTAGCCAGCTGGTCAAAGAGTTGGAAAGAACAAGAATCTACTAAGGTTGTGACAAGGCTGTTGCAGGAATGGGTGGATAGAACTCTTGGAATGAGTTCAGAGTTGATATTTATATACCATGTGCGTGTCCACCAGAAAGCATGCACTCCTCTCCCTGACCAGATAAATAAGCTGTTTTCCTCGTCCACTGAACAAAACAGTCCCATGAACGAAACAGTCACGATAGCGGAGCTCGAGCTGTGCGTGAGGTAATAAAGATGGGCCTCTCCTCGCCACGGGCGACCTGGCTGTTGCCTCTGCAGA